TCAAAAGCCCACAACTACTAAGGATGCTTTAGCATATCAGACAAAGTTAGAGCTACCATTGCCAAAACAGTTAGCTCAACAGGTATGTCAGGATATATCTAAAAAATCTGTGAACGATCGTGATTGGAAAATTGAGTCTAAAGCTGAAAGCAGTGTGAGTCCTGGCACAAAAATATTCACGGGGCAGGAGGGTAAAGATTTGGAGGATTGTGGCATGAATATACTTAAAGCTTACACCACCTTAAAATCGTATGGAGGAGATGAACTATTGACAAGTGTCTTTACTGAATTCAAACATTTATATGCGAATGCAGATAAAAAGAATGCGAATGCAAAAAACAGTGGAGACAAAAGCAAGTATATTGATGAACTTAAGGCAAAATTGTATCCAAGTAGCTCAAAGAATATAGATAATCAGACGGAGCAGAAAGAAACGATTAAGAAAGTGTCTAACACATTAGAAGCAGAGAAAGTTGTACAGAAATGTGTGACAGAAACAGAAACTGCTCAAGTCAATAAATCTCAAACCCTTTTAGAAAACCGAAACGCTGCATTAGTAGACACAACAAAACCTAAGGATATTATCAATACTAGGAATGTTGAGTTGAAAATTAATAAAGCACTTAAAACGTCTAGTGTAAGCATAGTAAAATCTATTAGAAATGAAGTTAAAGACGTATATAATGTTGAACTCTCTCAAAAGCCATCAACATCAGTAGAGGAAATAAAACGTAAGGTCAGCGTAATAACTGAACTCAGTCCGAAAAGCTTGAAGAAATCTACAGAAAACAAACAAACTAGCACTGTGAACGATGACAAAAAACGTTTGTTTTATGTGATAGATGAAGAAAAGTATAGACAGATAGTCCAAAATGAAATAGATATATTAGATGCAATAAATATTGATGCATACGTGAAACCGGAGAAAATAGACTTCAGTCGGTTGTGGACTAAGCCCGATTTCCTTATACAAAAAACTATAACAGACGCCAGCTCAGACGCTATAAGCCCAAAATCAGAGGAAACATATATTAAGAAACATAAATATGATTTCAAACGTCTCAGTCAATTGGAGAAGAAAATAAAACAAATAAGCGAAGAAATTGGCAGATATAAATCATTACTTATACCAGAAAAAAATGTTAATATGCACGACATTGATGTCACCTATCATACTTATCCTAAATATAGCAGGGAGTTGGGTAGCAGTAGTGGGGGCAGCAGTATAGTCGAAAGTCATGTAAATCACATAACAGTACAGCGAGCTGTTATCGATTCATACCAGAATATACCAGGATTGTCAAAAGTTACAGAAATGAAAAAAGAAGTGTACAACACAAAAAAATTGGAAACGGAATTGCAATCAATAATAACTCCAAAAACGTCAAATGTTTTCAAAACTATTGACATTAAAATTGAAACCGATGCACAAATGTCAAATAAGTTTTATGATTGTAAAGCCGCATCGGCAGCAGCAACACCGAGATCATCTGGTATATTGAAAGATACCGGTAGCAAACAGAAAGAAACTCTACATTCTGAAGTTAAAGCAAAAGTACCAACGCCAAAAACTTCTGGTTCAATGAAAAGTACAGCTAGTAATAAGAGGAACTACAAGAGGGAAAGTGAAAAGCAAAGTGCAAAACATGAACCTGGTATGTTACGAACTGAATCAAACAAAACCAAGACAAAATCTTCAACCTTAAAATCTTCTGGTTATTCCAAAAATGCACAATCTGAAGTCAAAGCTCACAACCTACCCTGTAAAGACGACAGTTCTGATGAGAGAGCTAACTTAACTCCAAAATCTTCAAGTGTATTAAAAAATATGACCAAGAATGAAAATCTTCTCAGTTTATTTTCAAAGGAGACTCTTAGCTACTTGAGTGAGTCACAATCTGTAACTTCAAATTCTTCCATTACGTACAAGAACTATATGACCAACCGAAAACTATCCAAGTTTATGCTAAAAGAAAGTCAATATTCTGATACGGAAACTGTGACACCAAAATCCTCCGATTTGTCGAGAAAAGTACAGACCAAACAGAAAACACACTACACATTTTCTAAAGAAGAACACCGTGTTTCTGCAACTGAAAAACAAGTTTTAACACCAAAATCGTCGATTTTGTTTAAAAGTAGAGGTCTTAGACCTAACGTTTGTCTTAAGGTGGACAATTCATCTAAACGTTGTCTTTCGCGAAAATCTTCCAATCAATTTAAATGTGAATGCAAACAAAAGGAATGTGAAATGAAAGAGATTGAGTGCAACCGTGTACAAAAGTTATTCACATTAATGGAAAGTAATATTATGGAAAATCCATTGGAAAAATTCTCCTTAATAAGCATGTTTATGGATTTTCAAGACGCATTAAAAGATTGCAAATATTGTAAAGACAAGCAGTTAAAGGTACTCAACGAAAAAGTTTTCGAAGAAATTTTACGTATTATCAAAGACAATGACCCCGCTAGTATCGTCCTAACTGTTAACTTGCATTCTAATGCATTATACCACATTAATGTTGGTCTTCCGGAATGCAACAAATCGCTTGGATGTCTCTATGCTACTGAGAAAGGTATAAAGGAAGCTGCCAGAGATGAAAAGGCATTTGAAGAATTTATGACCTTCTTTGTTGCTAATGAAGGAAAATCAATAGACCTGAAGCTGAAAGCATTAGATCATGCCTTCGATGCTGTTGCAATGTAAAAGGAATGTGTCCATTGTGTTTAAATTTTTTTTGGGTTATAAAATTTTTTGGTAAATAAAATAGTTTAGGTTTTTAAGTACAAAACCTCTTTTTGTTATTGGTTAATTTTAGTATTATAATATATAAATTAAAATTATAGAGACAAATTATTATAAAAAATTAAAATTATTATTAATATAAAATACTTTCCTCTAACCTATAAAACCGGATAATTCCCCAGCTCAGATGCTATAAACCCAAAGTCAGACGAAATATATATTACGAAACATAAACATGATTTAAAAGACCTTAACCAATTGGAAAAAAAGTAAGAAATGAATTTATTAAAGCAAATTTACAATTTATTGAATTCAAGCAAGCTATAGAAAAATAGATATTGAACGTTCCATCTATTCACAGACTGTGATAGTGTAGTCAGAATACAATTATGATACCCAACGATATAGGTGAACATGATGATTCCCTGTTGAGACAAGCTCTAGCCGAGGTTCAGGCCCAGGTACACAAAGCGATGTCGGATGACATCGACATCCTTCATGATAACATATTAGGATTTATTAAGAGCCTTAGAATACTCTACTGCTTATCAGTTTTAGATGCTTCAAAACGGCTTGTATTTAACTGAGTAGCTATCAATATGTATTTCACATATATATAATTAGCAATATATGATATTTATAATTATAATTTTTTTATAATTATATATATATTACTTTTGGCTAATAGATTTCATAATTCTACTATTAAAAACTAAACTCATTGCACAGTGAGGCAAAATTAAAATTAGACTATCAAAATTCGTTATTTTTGAAACAGTAAAAATATTAATTTACCTTATATCTAGTTTCTGAAATAAGGTTTTCTTTCCTTTACTATTTTATAACTCAAAAACTATAACAGAATCAAAAATGAAATTAAGAATACAAAATAGTTGTAGTGTACTAGTAAGGTTTAAAGCATTTTGTTACCATCCACTTTCAACAACACTCACCCTCTATATAAAATTATCAAACATTTTTTTTTATTTTTAAAAAAATATTTTTTATTTTAATATTTTTATTTTTATTATTTTTTTTTTAATTTTTGAAAATTTTTTTACCGTTATTAGACTATAATGGTCAATACAAATGGTCACCGACCCTATTTAAAAATGCAAATTCCAGCAAAAAATTGGAGTGATCCGGTTTCATCTTAAGTTAAGATCTTACATTATCTTCAAACGCACCTTAATTTCGCAAAAATCTTAATTTCATCTTCGAAAAAAGTTGTTTTCTGCCATACAAACTTCAGTTTTAAGGTTAGAATAAAATTAAGTGACATTACCTTAATTTCGTTGAAACGAAGGCTAAAAATAAGGGATATTTTAAATGCAACTATGCGTGAAAAAATTTAGATAAATAAAATTGTGATAACGTGAATGTCAGTGAAATGTCAGTGACTTTAACTTTAATAAAATAAGAAAATATTTTATTAAAGTAGTGCAAATTTTTAAATTTGAATATAAAGAAAAACTGTAACTATTATCAATTTAAAATAGAGTGAAAAATAATAATTCACATATCTGAAATCCGATAAATTTAATTTAACTTTTAAAATTTCCCAGACACAAATGGTGTTTGGAGCATGTGATTTTTAATATTCGAAATGTAAACGAAAAACATTCGAAATTAACTTAATTTCATTTTTTTGAAATTAAGGAAATTTGACTGTCTAAACATAGCATAAGTTAAGATCTTATTAATCTTAAGTTATTTGCAGTTTTATGAAATTTTTAGTTCTTGTAAAAATTGGGTCAACTTTAAACCGATATGGCTTGTTGACTATTGAATTTGTTGATCGAAAAATATTGCTTTGTATCTCCAAAACTCTATTTAAAAAAATATCAAATTTAAATCATCAAATTTAAGTTCAGTTACATTTGGCATCGATATGAAATGTTTATTGGGCAGTTTTACAACAATAAAATACAACAAAAATGCAATAACTATCATTATTAATAAATAAATAAATACAATAAAAACAACAATTTCAAATAAAAGATATAGAAGTAAAAAACCAGAAGCCCTTAGTTCAATTAATACTTTTAATGTTTTTATTAATATATTTTTTTTATAATACAAATTATTTGAATAATAAATTATTTTAATTTAATTTTTCTGAAATTTATATTCATACAAATTATAATAAATTTTTTAAAATAAATTATTTACTGAATTTAAAGTGGGACGAGATATATACATTTTTTTATGTAAATTATTAAAAAAAAATTTTATTTAATAAACAAAAAAAAAACAGAAAAATCAATAAACAAAGAAAACAGAAACGAAATTAGCATTTGCAGCACTTGAAATTGTTTAATGAATTCGTTACATTAACAAAATTGCATATATATTCTCACACACACACACATTTATTCATACAAACTAAACAATATTCAAATCTTAATTAATTTGTTACATTTTAAGTGCAATATCTAAACACACACACACACACAAACAAACAAACACACGAACACGTTTACTTCAATTTGCAACTTAACAAGAAATTCCACCTTAACCCGTAACCCTTTGTTAACTCTTAGTTAACTCTTAGTTAACTCTTATTAACATGACAGCATACAACACAATACAACAATGCAATATAAACAACGTAGCAAAGTGAACTGCGCTCAATCTGGTAAGCCCACACTAATACGTTGAGAGGCAGAGATGCTGCGCGCACTGCTGCGTCGATTATTCGAAGTGGGAGTTTTTGTATCGACGATGTTATTAGCAACTATTTCGCCGCCACTAAAGCAAATGCTGCTGCGCAAGTGCTTTTTACCATCCAACGCTGCTACGTCGGCATCTGAATACGTATCAGCATCATTAAATGTTGTTGTGGTATCTGCTGTTGTTGTTGTTGTTTTTATTGAAGCTTTTACTGGTGTTGCTGACAATTTTGGTGTGATTTTCCGCGATGATTGTGTTTGATTATTAAGTTTAACTTTATTGTTATTGTTATTGCTATAGTTGTGGTTATGGTTTCTCTTGTTGTTGTTGTCATTGTTGTTGTAGTTATTATTCTTTAATGATGATTGTTGTGCTTGTGTGGTAATTTCATTACCAGTTTCCATATATTGATCGTAATCTGCATTTTCATAATCAAAATCTGTATTATTAGATACAAATTGTTGGCGTTGTTGACTGCTTCCTGTTTTCATATAAGGAGATTTATTATAACCATTAGAGGCTGAGGAGGAAGTTCTATAATTATTGCGTCTATATGTGGCTACATCATTAACTCTTGGCTCATGATAAACACTTTCCTGCTCATAGACTTCATCTTCATAGCTAACATGTTTCTTTGGAGATGTTCTTATGCGCATACTCCTTAAATCTTCATCTATATAGTCAGTTATTTCTCCTGTACCAAAATCATTGAATTCTTCACGCATTCCTCTTGAATTTTTAAGTATTTTTTTAGGCATATTATTTTGTCTAGATTGCACATTCATATTTCTTGAATATGTTGGAACTTCAAATTCGTCTTCTTGTTCATTGTAAACTCTATCGCTATTTCTGGTTGCTGCTGCCTTACCTCTTCGTTCCTCCATTGTATTTCGTATCACTTGTTGTGACATATGTGAGTTTTCTCTATTTTTCGCAATACTTTTACTTGCCGGTCTTTCATAATTATCTCGTCCTCTTCTAAAATTCTCATCTACTTCATAATCACTTTCATAATTTTGACTTCTCTCTGGTGTATTTTGTTCCTTAATAAATTCTCTATTCACTTCTGGCTCTTCACCTCCACTGAGTATACGGACATTACGCTTATTTTGCAATTTAGGACTATTTTTATTATTACGTTCAACTTCCTTTTTATCATTCATATCCATTTTCGGTCTTCTGATATTATTACGATTGTGCCTATCATCATCTATGAAATCATAGAATTGTATCTTTGAACTAAGTGTCTGTTTTTTCTTTAAAGCAGTATTATATTCCTCATCAGGTAAATCGAATTTTGTGGCAGTTGGTTTTAATGTGATCTCTTTTTTTAAACTCTTATTATTTCTGCGCGCTGGTGGATTATAATGTTGTTCACCTTCTTCTGCTATATTATCATAGAATTGTATAGAGGATTTTGCAAACTCTTTGTGAAATCGTTTTTTAGTATCAACATCATCTAAATCCATAGATGTTTGCGTCCTAAGACGTGGTCTCTCAACTTCTCCAAGTTGTAAACTTGCTCTACGTCTTACACGATTCTCCACGGCTGATTCTAATTTTGTATCATCCGGCCAAAATAAATGCGATTCCAAGCGATTTGTACCTCGAGTACGTTCTATCATACCGGGCGGTAAGCCCGTAAAAAATTTACCATTTATCATAACGTAATAATCCGCTCTACACAGCGTCAAACGTACCAATCCGCGCAAAGTTCCGAGCTCAAGTAAACTATCATCGTCGCTTTAAGAAGTCGAGAACGTTTAAGTCAAATGTTTTTGGTGTAGTGTAAGCAATTAGTATAAACGAACGTTAAGTTGTAGGCGTTTTAAGTATGTAAGATACGAGATACGTTGTGGTTGCCGAGATTGTCATGATTGCCGTGATTGCTTTGATTGCTCACAAAAACAGACACTTGCTGTGTTAAAAATATTTAGTTTTGGTTTTTTTTTATTTATTTTGTATATTTTATATTATTTTTGCTGTTCTTTGGAAAATGAACCAAAATATTTTGTTAAATTTATTTCTCTCTTCAGTTGCCTTAAAACTTGTCGTGCGCTTATTTTAACATAGCAAGTTTCTAAATATGGTCAAGTTGGCAATACGTATGACAGAAGTGGACTTGCCAATTATTATATATATTCGTTTGTTTCTTTAAAAAAATATTTCTTGTTGTTATACAGCCTATGTTATATCAAGTAAAATATCTTTAGTCTTAAAAAACAGTTTTTTTGTTACTCAGCCTTAAAAGACTGCAAGTTTTTGCGAAACTGTTATGTTACACCTTATATACATGCCTATATAAATGGTAACTGATTATTTCCTTTTTAACTGACCAAGTACTTGAAAGAAAAAAAGGTAAAATTGAAAGTTCTTAACGTAAATACTTTAAAGACTTATTAATCTGAACCGTTTCACTTAGACTTTCAGAATTTCGTAAAGTGATTGAGTGTTGAGCACTACAAAAAAGTGGCTCTAAAACAACACGTGTACTATTTCAGAATATCAGAGAATGATATTAATCGTTTATAATAAAAAATAAAATGTAAATAGCAACCTAATGCGCTAAACCAATTTGCTACGCAGATAATTATCTCGTCTCAGGAAAAATGAGCACCCATAATGACTATTAAGAGTCACATTCCGAAAGCCACCTATTATTACAGTAAATGGAAGAGAAAGCTCAACTCCTCAAAAATATTGATCTTATTGACCAACATCACAATCGAGCAAGAATCCTCACAGTTAATAAGCTCTAGTATCTTTAAATTGTATTTACTACTAAGTATGATATTATCTTTTTATTCAATATGCTATTCATAATATCACAACATAAGATATTGACATTAATAATTCGCTCAATAGCAACGTAAGTAGTATCAAATTTTAAATTCAACCCAACTGTTCAAAGATTTAGTCTCACTAAAAAAATAGAATTGAATAAAGCAAAACCTATTCCAACATTCTTCTGGTTTTTCTTCTTCTTTGCTTAATGAAGCGCGAATTACTGTCCAAAAAACACTTTTATCCAATTGTGACAATTTGAATAATCCACTGTAAACAGATCTTCGTAGAATTTTGATGAGTTTGAAGCTCAGCATATTTATCTAATGGATATGATATGATATCATTAATTATTTTTAACATTATCGATATTTTTCGTGGCATCTTGAATATAACTATTGAAACGAAGACATCTCCGGAGGGAAGGATATTAAAATAAAATCCAATAGGCACTTCCTGATACTGTTTGATGTATATATGATAGTGAATATATATTATTTACGTGTAAATCTGACATAACAGTGTTGAAGAATGTTGAAGAAAAACCACTAAATTTTGGCACTTTTAATGGGAGAATATTTGTGGTTACATTTAAAGCTCAAAATTATTTGAGCAAAATGATTATATTACTCTCGCTCGATGTGAAGCTGCATTTCTGAACCGGGTGCTGCACCCTAAAGTATAACAAAGGTGTTATATAGACATTCTTTCCTATGAAAGAGAAAATTATTTCTAAATGTAGAGCTTCAATTGTTACCTCCGGAATTCCTTCGAGTCACAATCGGCACATTATGTTATACTTATAAGTGTGTTAAAAGTACGATGATGTAAAGACTTAAAGATAGGTAATCACGTTAAAAACTATGACCTCTCTCTGTAACAGAGACAACATTAGTGAATTCGGGTATCAATACAATAACGAGACTATGTTCACTCAGTACACATGGCTTCAGCTATAATCTATACGATTAGATGACTTTTTTATGCAGCAAGCCTGTGCTTGTCCAAATCGTTTCAGAATGTATCTATACTCACTTGTCATGCATACATATATCTATTCCCAATATGTATTCCCACTGCAGCTTTACTCCTCATGACGTCGCTTATCTGTTTTACCTCTCCTATTGCACACACATATTTACCTATGTGCCTTTTAATTATCACGCTTTCCTCATTCAGATGATAAAATTCATTTAACTTAACACCAATTCTCCTACACTCCCAATCATTATTCTCCTCGCTGTGTTTCTTAGGGCCAATATATTTTAGCAACAAAATTTCATCATGGGTGAGTGGGTACCTATTCCATCAAATCTCGCGTATTTGTATTGTAATCGATTCATGTTGCTTCTTTATAGGATTTCTCTGTGGGTTTTTACAACACTAATAAAAAATAATGTTGGTATACAGGGATGTAAACCAGAATCTCAGACTTTGTAGTATAATTAAGCGAATTCGGATGTGAACAAATGGTTTAGTGTACTCTATAACAGATGTATTTAACCACTATTTATATATACAGTAATCCCCCCTATAATGTGATACCCTTATAAAGCGTTTTCATATTACGCGATTTCAGTCCCCCGTATAATACGGGGATTTGTACAGTTCATTATTAGCTTCGCGTACCTTTGCACGGATATATACGGGAATAGCCTTAAAACGCGGAACCCATCTACCGTATAAGGTTCACTGGATTACTGGATTACTGTATAAGGTTCACTGTCCTGCAACTACGACCACCGGTTTGTAATTCCAAAAAAAATAGAACAGTAAAATATATATTGGCACATTTTGAAATTAAAATTATTAAACATTATTTTGATTTTGATTCATTTATTGATTATATGACCACTCATATTTTTTATGTATCTACTACAATTTATTATAAATATTTATTTATTTTAAATCTACACATTAAAATTATAGTTACGAGTATGTTTTGTTTTTAATCTTAAGTTATACTGCTAAAAAAATAGTGTCGTATTTTTTAAATTCAATCAATAATAAATAATTATTATTGATAATAATTATGAACTAAATCTTAAATAAATTAAATTTATTATCAACATTTAAAAAAGTTTGCCAAATTAACAATGTGAATTGCAGTAATGAGAAGAAGCTGAGCTTAGTCATGACTTGCACGACTCAATTCAATCACTTAATACTTAATACTTATTTTTTTTGGAAATTTTATTTTATAAATTTATTTTTTAGTAATTTTATAAACTACTTACATACTCGTATATATGTATTTGTTCACGCCTTTTATGCTCTCTATATATATAAATAAATAATATGTGTGTTTTTGCATTTTATACAAATATATTCACCATATAAAGTACAATACTTCAATTAATCATTAATCATTAATATTTTACACCTTTGATATTTTTTAATTATTATTATTTTTCAAGCTGGAATATAATTTAGTCTGGATATGTTAGTTCACTTATTGCTAATTTTATAAATTTATATATATATATAATTTATATATATTTAAATATATATCTAAATATTTAAATTATAAAATTTAAAAAATTTTAATTAAAATTACAAAGATTGATTTTATTTTTTTTTTTTTACATTTAAAAGCATTTAATGCAAAACTACATTTTAGCAAAACTTTAATATTAATTTTCTTAAATTATCAATTTCGTTTTTTAATATTGAATTTATTATTATTTTTTTTTAACTATTTTCATTTTTATTTAATATTATATTTTATTTACATAGATTTTTCAAAACAATCATTGAGATCAGTTATAATTTATTTTATCTAAAACTAAGAACCTTCCACGTTAACTGAAAATCACGGTCTATGTTTAGTATTCAAATTTATTCAATATTTGTATTGCAATGGCCCTAGCTTATCAATTTAGAATCACTCTTAATCTAAGTCTTAAAATACTATCAATTCAGCCAACTTTTAAAACAATATTCTATTAAAATTATAAAAAAAATTTGTCCCGGTATAGCAGTGTTTCTTCAACTTTTTTGCGATACATCCCACTTTAACTTTGGGGTTCAAAACTATTCCAATACCCCAACTATTTACCACAAGGAGTTTTGAATTTCTCCTAAACATTGAATATTTATACTTTTGTAAGAAATGAACATACAAGGTAAAGTGTCTGTTTGCATTTAACATGGTAAATGCCAGCGCGATCCTTACAACTGTTCTCTCTAATTTAACACACACCTTCTACGTGACCCCCTTTGAATAGCTATAATCATCCGTGCGTAGTGAACAAATGAGTGCAGCGAAATCCTTCTCATGAATATATAAGGTTATCCGTTAGGCTTGAAATCCACCATTTAAACACACCTTTCAATGAAAACGAAGAGGCAGCCTCGGATAAGGAAACGATTTACTGATTTACCAGTAATTGACGACATCAAGCAACTAATCGGAATGGCTGGCGGAGGCTACTCGAGGTGACTAAGGACGTCTCATGTCTGTAGTGGCTAACTAAGTAAGTAAGTTATTAGTATTAATAATACAAATTTTATGATTTTGATTTCGTTTTATTTTTGATAATTAGTTTAATCGTTCCATTCGTGATATTTAGGTTTTTGAAACGTTCTCTTAAGAATCAATAGGCTTTATTAACCCTATTTTATTAATTAAAATATTATTGTTTTATTTAAGTTACTTCTTGGTCAAATAGCAATTTGTGCCTGGTGAGATTACCATCCCCTTTTAAGCGACGAAAGACGAACTACATCCTTTTCCTTTCCCATAAACAATCTTTTTTTTTTTTATTTGCTACACTGCTATATTAATTCGAGAAATTCTTAAACGTCAAGATCTCTTGTTCAACGTCGTTCTAAAGTTAACAATATCAACTTATATATAGTTTGAAATCGGCTTTCTTAAAATTGCTCCACTTTGAGAAACACTCTACTATTGTACCATCTAATAATGTTAAATTAAAAAAAAAATTTATTAATAGGAATTTCGAAATATCGTAATTATAAATTAAAATAAATTAAATTGTACTTCGATTGTCCGTATTTCTATAAAACAGCTACATCCATTAATTGGAGTATTTAATTAATTCTTTTTAAACTTTTATATGAATTATACTAACACATAACTGAATTTTGAATATCTATTAAGTACCATTATAAATAATATAAATTGAAGCGAAAATTTCAGCTCAGACCTTTCTTGAAATTAACAAATGACTATCTTAGAGAAGATACAAAGAATTGATAAGAGATAATTTTTAAAATTATTTATTAAAAATATTTCTCAGTCAAACAGAATCGTTTTTTTAAACCCCACAATTCTAAGAACTATTTCTCCAGTTTAATTAAAAAAAAGTTTTTAACTATTGATCAAAAATATTTCTGGATTAAACTAAAGGTTTTATTAAACCCTGCAATTCTGAAAAATGCTTTTTCAATTTAATTATAAAACTTCCCCTATATAACAAGTATATAACGACTTATTCATTGCCATATTCATAGCCATATTCATGTCTATAGTCATGTCAATAGCCATATACAAATATACGTTTGTCGTTCAACGCCTCTCCCATTTATTTCGGACCATTTCACATTAAATATAATGGATTTCTTTCAATTAAATATTTTTAAAAAGTTTTCAAAAACCTTTCCTGCAAACGGCAGTTAATACCCTCTCTCAGTTGATACGTCACAAAAAAATAGATCTAAGAATTTTTAAAACTGCAACAACCATGTATAATGACTGCTATGAGAAATTACTGTCGCATACCTAGAAATTTCCTTTGTCAGCAAGCGCTATCAAGTTACACTTGTACAATTTATAGTGAGCACAGTCTACTAGATTATGGATATACTACACGAAATTGGTTATATACCACATATACCATATATAAACTGGTTATCCAAGGCAATCTTTTGGTTACCCAAAACAGTTTGAAATTGTGATATTTTGACTTCTCATCTCAACGCAACTCAATTCATCTAATGAGTATAAATTATATTGACACCTACAAAAACTGTGACTAGACTATACACATCGCTGTTCAGCAAATATTACTGAACAAAATTCTGTGCCAATTCACAGAAGAGTTCTTAAGAAGACACCAGGTTAGTGACTTTTCTTGCGCTATATAGGATAACGAATGGTTGAGAGGTTATGTGTTACGGTATTGTTTTTTTTTACTTATAAATACTAGTCTCCATTTTTTATGCACTGGCAAAAATATCTTCTCTAAAATAGTAAATTGTTATTAATTTATCATACATTTAGATATATCGTATTGAACTTCAAGCTGGTTTTCACGAATAATGTAAGCTCAACAATTTAATATTGCCAATTTAAATTTTTAAAAATGATTGAAATCCATTTATATTATTTTGAAGAACATGACTACTGACATTTCCTATACCTTTTAACACCATATCATATACATATCTTGAAAATTATTGATGGCTTTACTTCGATTTAATTTAGCATTGCCAACTTTAAATTATAATTTTATAATAATTTTACTTTTAATAAATTTCACAATTATATGGTTGTGGTTAACTTCATTTAAATGCCCCCGAGTTTTACAATTCTTGAATTAAAGGTGCTTTAAAATGTATTAAAATCAATTTTACTATTAACATATCTCAAATCATATCGACTGAATGCAATTGCAACAGATGCATTACACTAAACTAAATTGTACACTGCCAGAAGCATTGGGAGTTAGTTAAGTTACTTAAAAAAAAAAAAATATAATCCTACAGATATTTTAGAAACATATAATTTTCAAATTTTGGAATAAAAATTATATACTATCAAACCTATCAAAATTATAGCAAATCATATCAACTTACTCTATTTAAAATAGTTGGCCTCAACCAATCCCTACACCGTGATTCCGACTACATGTACACACACCAATCTCAACGCTAAGGTTCCCATTAAACTACTTAAATTACCTTAACAATTTTCAATTTCAAATTTGTATGAAATTTAATTTTCCAGTCACTTAACACCTTCGCTTATAGCTATAATCGGTTATGAGCATGACGATCACCTCGTAGTCAATCGAGATCGAGATCGAGATGGCGATGTCGATGGCGATGGCGATCATTGTCACACTTCAGTTTGGATTTTCCGCTTCGGTTTGCATTTGCAGTGGCGACATCAGAATGAAATTGGCTTTGCCCTGCTTGTCAATTGTGGTGGTCAGTTGTCCACGAAAGTGTAGCAATTCCGGTTTCTCGGTGAGGTTTGGTTCAATGACGCCGCCGCTCCGAGTTATTACGCAATATTGATTGCCGTTATAGGTAACGATCGGTATGGCATTGGCAGCTGCCGCATTGTCCGCCGCTTCAATGTTGAGACCGTTCAATTGAGCTTGGACGTATGTTGCTGCAGTGGGGGAGTTGGCAATAAAATGTGAAATCTGGTGAAGATGAATGAATTAGTGTAGTTAGTGAAAGTGCAATATGTTTAACAAAAAGGGGTTAAAAGGGACATAAGTGTCGGTGGCTTTTGTATGCTTTGTTTGTGTTGAACGGTTTACGGTTTACGATTTCCGTTGTTTAAGGAATTAAATAAAAATATTTAACAATATTTTTTTTATGCTTTTTTTGTTTTTTGTTTAAGTTTTCTTTAAAAATTAGTTACTTCTTGATTGTTGAAGTTGCTGATGCTGTTATTATTATTATTGTTGATACTGTTATTGACATTGCTGCTGTCCATGTTGTTGTTATTATTGCCATTATTGATATTATTGGTGGAGCTGTTAGGCATGTTGTTGATGTTGTTGTTACCATTCGTGCAATTGGAATTTGTTGCTGTTGATGTTGCAAAAATACTGGGCGGTTGTGTTAGTTTTTTTCCATGTGATCTTTTAATAATTTGTTGCTGTTGTTGCTGCTGCTGTTGTTGCAATTGCTGTTGTAGTTGTTGTTGTTGCTGTTGTTGTTGATGTTGTTGCTGCAATTGTATATTAATAATCGTTTGATTTTGTATAATAATTTTCTCCTTGCGTGCACTATTCACATCAACCTGATTGCTCTCGTGTTGTTGCTGGGCATTTTGGTTCATAATATCCGACGACTTAGTAGCTATTGTGGATTTTGTAGTTTCTGTTACTGCTCGTTCCTGATGTCAATACTATAAAATACAAAAAAAAAAAAGAAAATTAGTTTACAAAAATCATTAACTGCATAATATACAACTTTAGTAATGAACTTCCCTATTATCACTTCCTTTTTCCATCAACTTATGTAAGTTATTAAAAATATTTGTACCAATTACTAGTTTATTAATGCGTATTGTGTGAGATATTTCCAATATTAATAGTAATGTAATTCTACACTTGTAGTCCTTCCTGTCAAAAGCAGGAAAAGTTGGAAAGGAATGAAAGTTATCAAATCCTAACATAACTACCGCAGCATCAAATATGTGGAAATAAAATTTCACTCCCTAATAAACAGCATTTGGTATATTGTTTTGAATATAAAGTATATTTTTTATATTTAGCATATATGAATATTAAGCAATAATATATTATATATATTAATATACATATTAATATATGTTTCCTCCGTTAAGTTTATAAACATATTTACTCACAGCCAGGCAGCTATAAAATCTTTAAACTCGTCGACCATTAACTCGAGGTTAGTACTGAATATTTTCGGATACGAATTATTTGTGTCCCTGGACATATCGTTGCCTTGGGACATCCAAGACAACTGTATAGCAGATGAACTAGCAAGACATGGTACGAAAGCACAAACTCTTCTGGGATAAGAAAGTGTGGGTATACCACTTGCTTCTTGTCGGCATTGTATAAAATTATGGACATACCAAATGTTTAAAAGAAGATGGTCAACAGGGATCGGGGGAATTAATCGACCTGAGCAAATACATCCAAGATATTGGGAATAATTACAGGACACTGCCCGTTGGGAGGACATGCCGTGAGGCTCAATATCAGGACCTCCTTACATTGTAGACATTGCATGTCTACAGTGTCCTGCTTTCGCAAGATATAGACTCTCCTACATAGAGTCATGTATCAGAAAAAACGTTGCAGAAAAATGTTTGTATGCAAAAGTTGCTAAATTGCACAACAAAACATAACGAACATGAGTCTATCAGCATTGAAGATAAAAATAATATTCAAAATGCTGCCAAACAAGACAACGGCAATAAAATTCAGACAGGAATAGATAGATATATTCTTGTAACAAAGCGGAAACGCAGCCCCATGACAAAACCATCTAGTCAAATTTCAAAACTAACAAAATTAGTTGAAAACGGCGCCTCCTTAAATAAAAATAGATTTCAAATCTTATCAACTGATGAAAATAACGAGAATACCGAAAATAATACCAAAAAATACAAACCACCTCCAATTTATCTAAGGGAAAAAAATTCGAACGATCTTTTAAAGAAGATAACATCCATAATAGGTGATAAACATTTCTACGTGATTCCACTCTTGAAGGGAAATGTTAATGAAACAAAAATCCAAATAAATGATGAATTAAATTATAGAAAAATTATAAACTTCTTTGATGCCAATAATAAAAGCTACTACACCTACCAGCTAAAAAGTAGCAAAGGTTTAAGTGTGGTAATAAAAGGTATAGAACACTTCGTACCGGAAGCTGATATAAAAGCAGCCTTAGCAGAAGCCGGATTTGAAGCAAAGTCCATCTTTAATATTAAAAACAAAAATAAAACACCTCAGCCAATATTTAAAGTAGAACTTGAGCCAAACGCAAAAAAACTCGCTAAAGGAGAAGTGCACCCAATTTACAATCTTCGTTATCTTTTACATCGAAGGATAACAGTAGAAGAGCCTTTCAAAAGAAAAGATCCAATACAGTGTACTAACTGTCAAGAATTTGGCCATACTCGAACCTATTGCACCTTACCTAGTGTATGTGTAATATGTGGAGATCTACACAAATCCTCCATATGTCCAAAACCTAAAGAAGATGCAAATGCAAAAAAATGCAGCAATTGCGGCAAAAATCATACTGCAAATTATAGGGGTTGTACCGTATTTGTTGCAGTTAAGCAGAGAACTCTTCCCAAAAATCAATTAAACGCTGTGCCACCCAAAAATTACTACCAAGAACAAATAAACAATACAGAAGCAACAATCTCTCAAGGCAAAAGTTATGCAAATGTATTAAGAGAAAATATTCAACCTCAACAATTGGCAATACCAGCAGTAGATAATTTAGAAGAGACGCTAAAAACACTGATCCAAAGTCTTAATCTTTTTATGTATAGTATGCAAAGTATGATGCAAGAACTTATAAAAAATCAAACTGCTCTAATGCAAACTCTAATAATGAAAAAATGAGCAACTCCATTAGAATATGTCACTGGAATGCAAACGGTATAAACAACCACAAACTTGAAATTGAATATTTTTTAATTAGTAATGCAATTGATATTATGCTTGTGTCCGAAACACATCTTACTCAAAAAAACGCTTTCAAAATTCCAAATTACTGCTTTTATGACACCAAGCATCCCAAAGGTATGGCTCGAGGAGGTACTGGTATTATAATAAAAAAAAGACTTAAACATTTTGTTTTAGAAGACTTCAGCAAAGATTATCTACAATCGACAGCTATCCGATTTGATGAATATGGAGAAAATATCGTAATAGCTGCAATATATTGTCCACCCAATCACAATATAGAAGTCCAAGACTTCCAAAACTTTTTTAAAACACTCGGTTCTAAATTTCTGGTCGCAGGCGATTTTAATGCGAAGCACACATTCTGGGGTTCAAGGCTAATAACGCCAAGAGGACGGAAACTTCTAGCAGTTGTGAAAAGTGAAGATCTCAATGTGATTTCAACTGGACACCCAACATACTGGCCTTCTGATCGACAAAAAGTCCCAGATCTTATCGACTTTGGTCTAAGCAAAAATATTAAACCATCAACAATCACCGCATTTCCATTAGTTGAACTGTCATCAGACCACTCACCAACAATAATAACAATGCAAAGTCAACAGAATAGAACTATCCAAACGCAATGTCTAACAAAACATATAAACTGGTTAAAATTTCGTAAATATGTTTCTTGTCATATACCTCAACATGCTTCGTTAAAGGTGAATAATGAAATTGATGCTTGTGTTAACCAATTTTCTGAAGTAATCTCAATGGGTGTTGAAGTAGCTTCTATAAGAATTGAAAAAAAAGAACCCAAAAAAATCGGTGTGACAAAAACAATAGAGGGATTATTACAACGAAAGAGAAACGCTAGAAGACTATGGCAACGGCATAGATCCCCAAAACATAAAGTTTTACTAGCTAAATGTACAAATGAACTCAAATATGCACTAGCGGAAAGACATCAAAAATCCCTAGACAATTTTCTATTCAATTTGGCACCTAATGAACAAACGGATTATTCACTTTGGAAGGCAACAAAGTACCTCAAACAGCCTATCCAGCATGAATCTCCTCTCAGACTAGAAAATGGTGACTGGGCACGAAGTGACTCAGAGAAAGGGGAAATATTTGTAAAACACTTGAAAAATGTATTTACTCCAAATAATGCTTCACAAAATACTTCTTTACCAATTACAAACCTATATCCTTCGAGCAGGCCCCTTATTTTTAAACTAGAAAATATCAATAAAATTATAAAAGATCTCAATGCGAAAAAGGCAGCAGGACCTGATAAAATCTCAGTTACAATGGTGAAACAATTACCACAATGTGCCATTATACATCTCAGGCATTTATTTAACGCTATCTTACGGACAGGATATTATCCCAAACTTTGGAAAATGTCACAAATAACAATGATACCTAAACCTGGAAAGGACAAAACCAAAGTAGAATCCTACAGACCAATTAGCGTCCTTCCAGTATTATCAAAAATATTTGAAAAGCTACTAATAACAAAAATAATGCCAATACTCTCAGCTAACGAAATAATTCCGGAACATCAATTCGGCTTCAGAGCTAAACACAGTACAACTGAACAAGTGCATCGTATTGTATCATTCGTAAGAAACTCATTTGAAAATAAACAATACTGCACTTCCATATTTATAGATGTAGCCCAAGCGTTTGATAAAGTATGGCACGAAGGCTTAATACATAAAATTACAACTCTCATGCCAGTTAACACTCACCTTTTGTTAAAAAACTACTTAAGCAGAAGAACTTTTATTTTAAAATATAAAGATTTTGTTTCAGAACCCTGTCCTATCAAAGCTGGAGTTCCACAAGGAAGTGTAATAGGTCCGCTATTATATCTGCTGTATACAAGTGATATGCCAACTTCGGAAAACACATTAACTGCAACATTTGCTGACGATACAGCAATACTAAGTGCACACAAAAACCCCGCAATCGCACAACGCATGCTTCAAGAACATGTTCACCAACTTGAGAAATGGTTATCAGTATGGCGTATCAAAGTCAATGAACAAAAATGTACCCATGTAACATTTGCTCTAAGACCAGGAAACTGTCCCAATATTACAATAAATGAGCAAAAAGTACCTTCAAGCGACTATGTAAAATATTTAGGGATACATCTAGACAGACGTTTAACTTGGAACAAACACATAGAGGCTAAAAAGACACAAATAAATATAAAATTAAGTTCATTGCATTGGCTTATGGGCACGTCATCTAAGCTACCACTTGAATACAAAATTTTGCTATACAAGTCGATAATAAAACCAATATGGAGTTACGGAATTCAACTGTGGGGAACAGCGATGCCATCAAATATTGAAAAACTGCAAAGGCTGCAATCTAAAACTCTAAGAATGATAACAGGTGCACCGTGGTTTCTGAAAAATGCTAACCTTCATAGAGATTTGAGCGTGCCAACAGTAATAGAAGAAGCTGCTCGATGTAGCCGTCAGCATCTCTTAAAGTTAGAAGACCATCCTAACCAATTAGCTTACATGCTGCTACTGAACAAAGGCCACAGACGTCTAAAAAAGAAGGACACCATTAACATCTGTTAACCTTCAAAATTTTTATTTCATTTAAAATATTATAAATTTTCTTTAATTGAACTGAATGTGATTTCTTGAATTAAATTTAATCTCAATTTTAATTTTAATATTAATTTTCAATTTTATTTTATTAAATAAATTAATGTCTTAATAATTTTTTCCAAATCAATGGCTTAGGAAAAAAAAATAAATTTAGTTTTAAGATTTGATCACTTATTGTTAGTTTCCAAATTGAAAGATTCAATAAATAACGTATGAATTGAAAAAAAAAAAAAAAAAACTTAGAGTCACAGTTTTTCAATTCACTAAGAGAGCTAAATGCAATTTCCATAGCTCGTGTCAATGGCTTTGTGGCCAGTACCAAATGCTTATAGGGATAGGTGTCAAATTCTTTAGGGTATCACAATGGACCTCATAGTCTAAGTGAGTCTTCGGGCAGCCCCAGTAACCTAAACTAACCTAACCTAATGTACATATGAAATAGAGAGCATTTAACAATATTGATTTAATGTATATATATAGTTCCGCGTTATAGGAAAATTCGTTATAATGACGCGAAGCTAATTATGAACTGTACAAAACCCCGCGTTATATGGGGGAATGCCCGTGTTATACGATGGATTGAAATCGCGTAATATGAAAACATGTTATAAGGGTACCGCGTTATAAGGGAGAATATATATATAGGCTTTCTATTATATGCTCTTACTGACTACCTGTCGGGCTCAATAACACCTTAATTGAAATATCTGGAGTGGATGATAGTGATCGGAAATACTCATACAATCACAAATGAGTTACACTTATCGATGGAAAGGATTATTCATTTCAGAAAGTCGAAATTATAACAGCACAAAACTATTTATTTATTTATTAACAAAATTATAACGTAAATTTAAATTTATGGAAGCTATACCCAAATGCCAGTAACCAATTAACATAATGTATATATAACATTAAAGAAATTTGTCAAGAAAATATAATGTAGAAACCTAAGTTCTACAGTCATAAAGTGGTAGTTCGAAATTAATAATTAAAAATAATCAACCCAGTGTACTATATTCTATATAGCTTATAGGAATGTACAATCTCTCTTAATAAAAGATTCAGACATGTCTGAACTTGACAAAAAACCATGTGAAAATTATAACAGAAATTGTATGCTAAGAAGAGTTCTAATACAAAACTGTAGAGAAAAACAACCACCTAAATAAAATGGGTATAGGTTCTGATGAAAATTACAGATGCTTTCTTTATAATAAAAAGAACTCTCTTTCTAATAATAATAACTCTATAATAACATTCTTTCTAATAAAAAAAACTATAATATAACAAGAATAGTATGTTAAGAATTCTAACATAATAGGCTCTGATGAAAATTACAAGTGCTTTCTTTATAATAATAACTCTCTTCATAATAATAACTTTCTTTATAATAATAATAATAACTCCCTTTGTAATAATAATATTAACTCTCTTTATAATAATAATAATAATAATAACTCTATAATAATAATAATAATAACTGTCTTTATAATAATAATAATAACTCTCTTTATAATAATAATATTAACTCTCTTTATAATAATAATATATAATAATAATTAAAATCCTGGCAAAAAAATCGTGACAGTTGGAAAAAGTCCGTTATGGCCCAATGTTCCCCTGGGTACGGACTGGAATGAATGAATTATAATAATATTAACTCTCTTTATATTAATAATAATAACTCTCTTTATAATAATAACTGTCTTCGGTCTTATAATAATAATAACTCTCCTTATAATATTTACTATATAATAACAATAACTCTTTAATAATAATTACTCTCATTATAATAAAAATAGCTATATATATATCGATATATGTTAGGTGCTGGCGTACCAAAGCTTCCCCAATATGTTTCTGTTTAATTAAATTCTCATATAGGTATAGTATATCGTAGACAAATCGCGTATGCGTATCTGTTAATTTTACACTGATCTATCTGTTCTATTCTCTGTTATCTATTTACACTGATCTATCTGTTCTACTCTCAAATGAACTATTTTACTTAACTTGTCTTGTCTTTCTAGTATTTCCCCTGTATTTACTTATTTAAAGAAAAATTTATCCTGTCTACAGCATTAAAGCTTACAGTAGCAGTATTTGTAAAATTACTGCCAATCAACTGACATTTTCTCACCTCCAGATGGCTCTTGGCATGCAGTGTCCATTCGTCTCTATTATTAAACATACGTCCACATAGTTCACATGTCCACGACAGCTGCTGTTGGTGGTGATGCGGTATTATTATACCGGGTATAGCAGTCGCTTGTGCCGCATGCTGCCCTGCCGCTGTTTGTACAATAATATTTTGGGTCGCCACTTGTACGGCCTGTTGTTGCAATTGTAACTCCAAACTTTGTTTATTATCTTCAGTGTCGGGGTCTTTTTTCTTAATTATATTATTTAAGCGCTTTCCCAACGGTGCTATATTAGTCGGTGTAACATGTTTAAATTTATTCATATGAATCACAAGTTTATCGCGCCTGGCAAACGCCTTATTGCACACCTGGACATATAAAGAAAGCAAAACAGAAGCCAGTATTAATTTTCCAGTTATTGTAGAAATTAAAAGGGTATGGGGTAAATTTTATACTTCACAAATATAGGGCTTCTCGCCGGTATGTATGCGCATGTGTATTGTCAGTTTATCCTTTCGTGCAAGTCCTTTGCCGCATACGGTACATTCAAAAGCTTTGCTAGTCGCTGAAATAGTCAACAATTTTAGTTTTAAATTTGAGAAAAACGAGATGAAACTTTATTTTTTTTTTGATCATACTCACTTTTTGATGGATTTGTTTTGCGCACACCTGATGAAGCTTGTTGCACCTGTTGCAATGCCTTCAGGCGACTGGCCGGATGCATTGAACCACCCTCCACGTATGGTTCGGTAAAAGGTATCAAATTTGGTTTCGGTATATTGTATGTTATATTATCCGGTGACCAACTGCCTAAACTCTGTAGCACACGCACGCCACCCTCATAACCCATGCCCACATCGTCGGGTACTGTGAATGTACTCTCTGCGCCACCGGAACTAGAGGAACTTATTTGTGGTACTTTTATCGTGCTTGCATAATGTTGCTGCTGTTGTTGTAGTTGTTGCTGATTTGTATTATTATTATTGTTACCATTGTTATTAGACGGAGAATTTTGTTGTTGTGAATTTTGCTGAGAGTTTGTGGACGTTTGTTGTTGCTGCTGCTGCTGTTGTTTGAATTGTATTGCCGCTTGTGCCATTTGCTGTTGTACTGCCATATGCGCCTCGAGATATGCATTCTTTTGCGCTACCGTCATCTTGTCCATGTTAACGGTACCGTCCTATAAATTTATTACACACACACAATTAATTGTGAACTATTTTATTATATTGTTTTTCAACATAAATTATAATATGAAAACTTTCACTTAATATCAATCAAAATAAACTAAAAACAAAAATAAGCAAGCAGTCACATCTGCAAGCCCCAAATAAATGCAACCCCAAACGGCGTACGATTTCTTATCGTTTCTTTTCCATTTCGTTTCTGCTTGTAAATGCCAGTATAGCTCCGCAACTTTACTCTCTTGCTTTTTCTCACTTATTTTTAAGGCATTTATCTTTTTAAATCGTTAATGTGAAGGGGGTTCATTAGCTATATTAGTTTATAATATATATTTTCACTTTTTAAAGATAAAATATGGATAATTTTATGGATTTCAATCATTTTGCTGTCAACGCTACATAATATTCTTTCTAGTAAATTTGTAGAATTACAGCAGTTGACAAAACAACTTACATATGCCGGTGGAATGCATTGGTATGAGATAATGTGTATTGCAAATGGTCATGACATGCACAGTGGAGCAAATAGTATATGTACTTTTGAAAGTAAAAATAATAATTAGAGTTTTTAATTTTATAATCTATGGACGTGTGCGAGTTAGGCTAAGTTGATGCTAAACCAAATGGCAGATTTTTTGCACTGCACACATTTTGCCATTTATCAACACGTATCGACACATCACTACATTATCGGCACAACTTACAATTTCATTCATTTAGAACGCAACTTAGCCTAACTCGCACACGTCCTATATAGTTATATTATATTACATAGATTTATATAATCTATAATATTTGTTGAAGTGAAACCTTTGTGCTATCCATACATCTTTTTTGAATGTTATTGTATCTTCAGCGGTCATTGTTCGTATATGTTTATATATAATTTTCAATTATTCGTTTATAATATCTTCTCTACCAACTTAAATAAATTTTATACACTCAAGTAAACTCCTATAGTATACAAGGCAACATCGTTGTTGTTATAAACTTTTAATAGGGAAAATGTGTATACATTTTTTTATACATTCGACAGATAAATAAATGCTTTATAGACGGGATGAACAACTCAACTGTGCTAAAACCATCCAAAAAAATAACTTTATTTAAGTTAAAGAATAAGTTGTTCGACTGATTAAAGGATTTTCGCGTATTTGTATTAAAAGATTTTAGTAAAATATTAAGATTGATGCTTATTATAAATATATAATTTGAATTTTATTCGATTTTACTGTTTTTTCATACATCGATATTTGATCGAAACTGCTTCAATTGTTTCAAAAACTTAATTTTTTAAATTATTAATTATAGTTTAGTCAAATTTACTTTTATTCATATAAATTGAATTTGTTAATAATTATAACTAAATGAAGTTTATTTCTAAATTTTTTAATAATAGATTTTGATCAATTCTTTTATCGCAAACCATATCTTTATTTTTGATGATTTTTTTTTTCAAGTTAATTTAAATTTTTGTTTTTATAATTTGTTTTTATTAAATAAATTGTATATATTTTAAATAATTATAATTTCACAATTAAGTATTTTGTTGTGATTTTAATTTAAATATAAATTTTCCATTAACCGCACTTATTGAAATATTTTTGAAATGTAGTAAGTGCTTAAGACTTTAAAGCATTAAAGTCAAAATTTTTTTTATCACACATTTTTAATACACTATTATATTATTTTATGTAATTAATTATTTTAAATATATGTAAAATAATTTTTATTAGTTTTGTTTAAGATTTTATTTTACATTTTTACAATTGTTTATGTTTTCATGATTTATTTTTTTCTTTATATTTTTAAAAATATTCGTTTAGACCTTAATTGTTGTATGTTTTTGTTTTTTACCGGGCTTCAAGTCGTTTTGTATTCTGAACTTTAAATAACCGACATATTTATATGACATTATATTTCCCAAAATTGTGGTTTTGTTTTAATTTTATCAAAATAACTTTTTTTAATAACTTCTAGTGATGGTTAAATACAAAACACAATTGTATAAAATTTTAAGAGGTCATTGGTTAAACTTGTCCCACCGTGACAAACGTATAGAAATTCACTTTTCATTAAATCTCTGCACATTTTACGTTGATTATCTCAAATTCACTTTTATATATACCTACTCATTATTTTCCTTATAAACACTATATTGTTAAGTAACTTTTATTACATCCGGAAGGAATTTAAATATATTTCATTATTTCCTTTCAAATTCTATAAAAAATCAATTTTTTATCTAAATTCTTAAAAGCCAATTAAACACAAAAACAAAACACAATCAATATTATTATAACACATATATAAATTAATCACATTAAATATATAACATATATATAAAAAAAACATTTTCTTTTTAAAATTCATTAGATTCGATTAATTTAATATTTTTTAAATAAATAAATTATTAACAAAATTAAATTCTTAAATTTCGCCTAAAAGTATGCTTACAAAAATTTCCAACACCTTTTGTTTGTGTATGTATTGCGAAACTGATTTGCTGTTCATATTGTCGTTTTCCCTTTTCGTACTTTTTCCTGCATTCGAATTTTATATTCGAGTAATTTTTTTATTTTTTATTTTTAGCGACTGACTGCGATTCAAATCGAATTCAATGGTATAAAATAGAATTGAATTGAAGCAAAGAAACTAAGTAGCGAAAAAAGCAGATATCCAAAGATTCAAAATAAGCACGAGAGTCAATGTGGGACCAACACGACGACGGCACAAGTAGAATTGTCTCACAAACTGCGAATACAAATGTTATCGTTAATTTCTTTTTGTATGAAAATAGAAATCGGAAGTGAAATGTTAGTAAATGTGACGTTTCATGTTGTGAATAATGTTGTTGTAGCAAAAGCAGTGGTGCTATGGGGCTGTGGGGGAGCCGCCGCTTTTGTGTATAGAAAAGAAAAAATTATTGTTGTATTTGTTTTTAATATCAGATACATTCAGCACACCGCACTCGGCTTTCTGTTTTCTGCTCTTGTACGTTAGTCGTTGTTTTTGTAGGCAGTAGCAGAGCACTTGGGAAAAAATAAAACAAAAACAACAACAACAAAATGTGGGGGTAACTTTTTGATATTATTTTTGGGGGATACAAACGAATATGAAACATTAAATAAGCATACAAATTTTTAATGACTGAAGTTTGGGGAGCTTTGAAAGCTTTAACATTTAGCAGAGTTACCAACATTTTTACCAATGAAGATTCAATATATATAATATAATATATATATATATATATTAATTCACTTTAAAAAAATATATATTAAATATAATGTAAATAATATATACATAAAATATATAAATAAAATATATAGTATATAAAATACATATTAAATATATATATATATATATATATATATATAAGTTCATATATTTATTTTTAATTATATTTAATATGTATTTATATATTATATATTTTATTTATATATTTTATATATACATTATTTATATTATATTTAATATATATTTTTTTAAACTGAATTTAGAGCAGTCTTAAAATATATAATTTGGAAAGTGTTTATAGACATATGAAATAAACACTTTCACTTTCATTCGTTGATGTTCATTTGTGCTCATTTCAAACAGCTGATTTGTCAACTTGCCTGTTAATTTGATTTTTGGCCGGTGTCAAAAAAAATTTTGGATGAAAATTAAATATACCCTTCAAACTTTACAATATAAACTGAAAACTTATTTTTAGCTTCGATTAATTTATTTTTAGGAAGTAGAAGTTCCAAAAAGAAGTGCATCGTTTTCAAAGGAAATGTAATTTATTTACCTTTTTATGTAAATATGTCAAAAACAGCTTTCTCAAACTGTCAAAATGCCATTTGCGCTTGAAAATGAGTCATTTGCTTCTCATTTTTGATTTTTGACCAAAATGAGTCATTTGAGGTCAGTGTAAATGCCATATAATTCTAACAGAAAAAGCTATTGCTATTTATGTTTATTCACATTCGGCAGTATATTTATTCCTCTAATGAATAGTGCCCAACGAGACGGTATATAAGGTCTGTTGCCCACTTGTAGTGGTATGTGAAAGATATGTTGATATCAGATAGGAATGCGTATAACAATGAATGCAAGACTATATATCTACAACAATAAAAAAATCGTTTGTCTTACCAAACGTAGAATATGTAAACAGCAGAATACAGAAAAAGTGATTAGTTGTAACGGAGTATATACAAAACAAAACAGCATAAAAACGCAAACACAAGTTCAATCCGATCACTAAATATTTCGCACACAAAGAAATACAATGCAATTGCTGAATGTTTGTATCAGCTGATATAAGATTTCTTTTATGTTTACATCAAGAAGACAAAATTCAAATGGTTTTCCCTTATTATTTATTCGTCGACACGAATAAATAAAGGTATTATATTTCTTACGTTGGAACCTGTTAGCTGATTTCTTACAGCACAGTACTAATAAAACTCCTTTCTTGAGATCGTGAATACCCCCTATATAATGGAAAATATTGAAATTACTTGTAATGTATAATCCAATAGTTATCGATAGATCTTATAGTCGTTTGGAGGATTGAACGACTACTTAATCAGGTTCTTTATATTTTTTATGCTCAAAACTATAGAAGCAAAACTTAAATGCTTATTAAATAAATAATAGGGTATTCACGATCTAGCATAATGAACTTGATAGCTGAGTAATATACTAACGGTGCAAAACGGCAACAACATAATATGTTTCGAGTGTATATATATCGTTATGGGCACCTTAAAACGTTATCATATTACTTTTTTACTCAAAATTGTGATTTCCTCTAAAAGGAACGTATATTTTTCATTTATTTTATTCGATGTTTATAATACATATTTTTGAGCTTTTTTATTTTAATATATATTAGTTTTAATATTATATTATTTAATTTATATTTAACCACTGACTAACATTCGTCGTTTGAGAAGTGAAAGATGAGGAGGAGAAGCGTGTTATGAATTAAATTTCATATATTTTCAATGTAGGACCGACCTTTTTGTTGTAAAATTGGTTATCAACATGGATATATATAAGGTTCGATGTGTATGTATGTATACATATATAAATACAATTTTATAATATAATCATTATGTCATTTTATAAGTACCTGAAAGTTTATGGTAGCCGTAACTGCTCGCATCGAGTCCGCATAGTTTCTGAGAATATTCTCTGTATGTAAACAGGATTGACGAAACTCGAATAAATGTTCCACCTTTAATACGCAACCTTCACAAATATTTTTCGGCAAAAAGTCGTCCTTGGAAATCTAAAAGATAAAAAAAACAAAAAACAAATAATAATAAAAACAAAATCTTAGTAAATCCAAAAATACACGCAATAAAGTTTTTGTCTTTGACTCCAATGTCAATGGCAGTAGCAGTAAAAGAGCAAGAAAATCCCATTCACCACTCTAAGCGCAACCCACCACCCACTGTACCCACCACTCAAGGCAGGCACTTGAATGTGCGCTGAAAGTGCAAATGCAGACATAGACGACGCGAAATTTACTTACATTCGCCGGCAATAGCGTGCGTAGCTTGTAAATCAGATTCCTTTGCTCTGCTTCTTTCTCGAAAAGGTTGATTTTGGCGGGACCATTACGTATCGAACAGAGGCGGCACAGTTCGGCGAATGTTGTGAAATTTAAATCGCCATCGTAGAGCGTGACAGTGTGTGATTGTGTTTGTTGATTTTGTGAGTTTTGTTGTTGTGTGTGATGAAGATGTTGCTGCTGTTGTTGGAGTTGTTGTTGTTGCTGATGTTGTGTGTGATGCTGTTGCTGTGAATTGCCCGAACTCAACATTACTAGGAATTTTGTTCTATTTTCAACACGCTCACACTGCGGCTTGATTTTTTTTTTTTTGATTCAATACATTCAACTACATTTTATAGGTTATGCTGTAAAAAAAGTAAAAATTTTTTATTAACAGTTACAAAAAAAATTATTATAAAAAAACATTGCAATAGTACAATGTGATAAAATATCTTAGCGGTTAATACAAAATCCGGTAACCAGAAATTTGCTTTATTGGCACCATCAAAAGCATTTTTTGATTTTATCCTCGAATACAAAAATTTTTACCACAAGTCCTGTAGCCAGAAATTTATTTTGAATGCTTCATCAAAAAAAAATCGACCTGAGAACAAAAGTAAAAATTCGTTTAGAAAGCATAGAAGAGATAATACCCGTAAACTAGACCTAAAGAATCTTAAAGTGAAAAGTCCGAAGACATAAACACACGAGAAACGTTCCTTTGAGAAGGCAGGACTTCCCCATTCAAGTAAAATGCAGCCTACAACTTGACAAGTCCATAAATTTGGTTATACCTCTTAAGTTAGAGCGTGACAACTATTTGATCAGTAAGCAAAGGTGCGCTAACTTTACACATTTCAAATCTTCTCCTAGCGTATGATAGCTAACGCATGAGATAGTGTTAGGTAATTTCTTCATTCGCATAGCCATAGTCCCGACAAAATTCCTTAAACAGTGGAACAAGTCAAATTGTTTTCAATAAGACTTATAATGAAGAACTTATCAGCACTGACCCTGTAATGCAGAGTTGCTTCCCTTTAATTGAAGCAAATAACTGTTGCAAATTTTATTAAATTTAAATGAGTTCAGTTTTGTTATCTTGGACTATATGCACTGAAACAGCAGTACTGAGTTGGTTGAGTTATCTTGGACCAGATGCACTGAAACAGCAGTACTGAATTGGCCCCATTTTAATTGAAGTAGCTAACTGATGCTAATTGTATCTAATTTGGACCAAGTAGTATTCTTATCTGATATGTATTTTTTTTATTGGCCTATCATTTCCAATGAACGCACTCAATGTTTGCTATTTTTTTACTTATCTTCTACAGTATCTTCTTAGTTTTGTTATAATAGGTCTGTTCCACCAGCTAACTTTGAATAACACTATGTATACACAAGTGCGTTCCACCAACAAATTTTCGAGTAAATAAGAGCATCTGAGAGAGCGTAACATCCCTGTCGAAATTTGAAAATGCTACACAGACTTTACTCGTACATTTTAGGTCTGTTCCACGAGCTACTCATAGTAAAACATGAGTAAAACAGAAGTAAAATTTACACAAAAATACTTGAAAATTTGCTAGTGGAACGCGCTTGTGTATACACAGTGTTTACTCAAAGTTACTATGAGTATCTTGTGGAACAGACCTTTTATTTCAAGTAAAATTTGTAAGATGTGTTTTGGTTTGAATTAAAATTTTTGTATTGTTTATTTGCGCGGCAGTGGTGTTCTCACCAGATTTTACACAAAGCTGTTCCATGAAGATCTGTGTAAAGAGCGTAATTTGCCACTCACCAGATTTTACAAAAAGCTGTTCGATGTTACTTGAGTTTACTTGAGTTTACTTGAGTTTACTTGAGTTTTACTATAAGTAGCTCGTGGAACAGACCTGATATTTGATTACATTTGGTCGTAAAAGTCAATACCAAAGTTAAAAGATACAAACTTAATAACATTCTCATCTACAATCAATTATGTTAAGCGCACTTTAGAAACATTTTCAACGTCTGTCTTAGTTACTTTAGTAAATGATGTTGAGTAATTTTATTTTGTTGATAAACTTAGTATACTTATCAAGTTAACAGATTTTCATATTTAATATGAAAAAAAGTCATTATTTTTCTTATTCATTATTACAAAATAGATTACAAAATTTAATTACAAACATTTACAAAATTTAACGTTAAGCGCTATTGCTTGAATGTGAAAAACAATAAAATGTCATTTGCTAAAATATCTGCGCATATAAATCGTTGTTATCGATAAATAAAATAATTTCGATAGATCGATTTTAAAATTCCAGCGACCATTTATAAAATTGTAGCATTTCTTGTCAAAAAAATTATAAGTCTGCATTTCATCATCGTAAACTGTACCGCATAAATATGTAAGTAACTTATTTACGAAATATATATATATAAATATATATGTATATATACAAACATACGTAAGCTATCACATACTCATAACCAAAAATATGAATTTATAGTTTTTCTATTAGAAAAAAATTAAAAGCTCGCTACCGAAATAAATGAGGATATTGAGAATTTTGATACAACCAACATAGTTCTTTGAGTTCCGCAGTTCATTTAAGGTAAACTATTATATATTGTATACACATGAGTGGTTATATTAGCTGGACCCACTTTTTTTTTAAAAAAAAAGGAAACTTATTTGTGTTTAGCTTGATTACATTAATTTCTGGAGATTATTATGTGGCAACTGGTATTGTAATAATACGGCCGCTACTTCCTGGCGCTTATTGGCCTTGAGTTTCATTAGCGTTCTTGACTTGTTGATATAAATGTTAGCCCCAAAGAAAAAAGTCTGTCGGTGTTAAATCTGGCGAACGCGGTTGCCAGTATAAATCCGAATATTTAAATATCGGGCAACCAGGGAACAAAACTTAAAAAATCTATTGTGGCACGAGGTGGTACATAATCTTATTGAAATCAAAACATCATAACCTGATAACACATCTGTTCGACGGTTACTGTCTTCGAAAAAGTATGGTTTGATGATCGTAAAGTGCTGATGTTTCAATAATTTGACGATTCTTCATGACGTAAAACCGATCATTTCGTTCCATATGATATGAAATGTTCTTTATCACTAATAATGATTGAACTTATTTTGAATGTTTAGGTAAATAATTTCGTTATCCATAATCCAAAACTTTCTAAGACTGACTTCTCAACGATGTGCTACTATTAGTCATTTGCATCTTCTTTGTCAAAGTTACAGTGTTGACCACTATAATACAACCAACTCTCTATATGATTTCTTATATTTGATTCTTATTTAAATAATGCATTTAACTGCTATATGTCATCTTTCTAGTATACAAAATTCAATATCTACAGAGATGGCATCGGAACTTACAAATACGCCATCAGTTGTAGAGTTTATGGACTCTATAAAATGCGATGTGGAAGCATGTAGAAGATCTAACTCAAGTAGCTCAAGAAGCAGCGCAGATAGTATCATTGACATACGTCTTGGTCTTAAGTCTAGGAGTCCAAATAATATGCCAAACAAGCTGTTCAAAATTGAGCTTATCAGTACTAAAGAGTCTCATCCTTTTGAAATGCGTTCTATTACTGTTCATCCAAATACATGTGTAAAAGTAGGTCGCATAATTGGCAAAAATAAGGAATCACTCACTAATGCCTGTTTTGACACAAAAGTACTCTCCAGACATCATGCAGTTATTTGGTATTCCAGTGACAATAATAAGTTTTGGATAAAAGACACAAAATCCTCGAATGGTACTTATCTTAATAATATTAAATTGGAAACAGAACCAGCTGAATTACGTTTTGGTGATATTGTCAAGTTTGGTCTTGATGTAGTAGAAAATAATACAAAGGAAAAGCATGGATGTATAATAGCGTATGTTAAGTTGTATTTGCCAGATGATCAGGAAGCTTTACCGGTTGAGCCAAATACACGTTTAGCATCACATTCCGGTGAGACTGTTATAAGTTACAGAGACTTGCATCGTTTGAATATATTTTTGCAAGAATCTATACAAAGGGAAGAAATGCTACAAAATAAATTGAATAATTTACAAAGTGTAGTAGAAGCAACACGTCAAAATACAGCGCAATGTTGGAGATCCATAGTTTCCGAAGATCAACTTTTACATATAATACATTCCTTGGAGAATAAACTAATGTTGGCTAAGCAAAATATGCCGGAGAATGCATTGAAAGGTGAAATATTCAAATTACTCGATGAGAAAAGCAGTTATCAGCATGCGGCTAAGGAGGCTCTAAGAAGAGTTTATAACGAACGTTTAGATGTGAAACAAACGCTGTCGAAGTTGCAAGTAACACATAAATCCACAGAGGAGGAAAGCAAACTTTTGACAGAGCAAATTCTTAATATAAGGCGCAACCATGAAGAGGTGAATAGTCGTTTATTTACTCTAGAGAGTGAATATACAAAAAGTAAAAAAGAAAAAGCCGAAATACTACAACAGTTTAAGGACAAAGAGTTAGCATGCGTGGCGCAGTATATGCAGAAAATGGAATATATTAAAAAGAAATGTGAGATTATTAGAAGTCAGGTTTCAATCTTAGGAGATAGTAACGAAGGTAACGATGTTCAGAACCAGTTAGTTGAAACAATTAATGCAATTATTTCGGACTTAAATATTGCTAAAGTGATTACTAAAACTAAAGAGGAAACAGTAGGTGCCTCAGACAAAGCTGAGGAGCAAATTAATGATGCTATAGTAGAGTTCCCAAAAATAATTACAGAAGAATATGAACAAAGCGAAATTGAGATAAAAGACTTATCATATAAACCAATTCCGAAAAAATCTGCATCAAATTCCTTCTATATTATTAATCTCTTGAAGAATGTACAAGAGAATCTTAAAACGTTGGAAATGAAAATTGGAAACGAAACAAACGAAATTGTAGTTCCCATCCACTCCACTTGCGATGATGCTGAAATTGATCAAGAAAATGATGAACTGTGTAATAAAAAATTAAGAAATAAAGACGATTACTTGTTACTAAAGAATACGATATCCATGTTGGAAGCAGCATATAATGAAGTGTGCAAAGACGGCAGCCCAAGAAAGGACTTACAAGACCAAATAAAAGCAACAAGTTCCATTAATATTGGCTGTGGTGACTACGATGAAAAAACTGATATTCAAACCAATTGTGATGACGATGTTTTAATTTTTTATAAAAACTTAACTAACACATCTACAGATAGCGAAGATGATTCAGATGTAATAAGTGTAAAAAGATTTCTACCTGACCCTTTTACCCAAAATAAGGACTCTCTATTCACGGTTAAAACACCAACATCTAATGAACTTGATGATGATGGTGATGACGACGACGATGATGATGGTAACTATGCATTAACTGCAAAAAAGACGGTAGCTGCCATTGGTAAAACTTATGATGATGACTACGCTTCCTTAATAGAAAATACATTGTTTAATTCCTTTAACGGAACGGACATTGGCTCTCTAACATTGTCAAGGAAAAATCTTCATTTGTTTGATATCGAAAATACTTTACTATCAGCGAAGAGATCGTACACTCTTGATAGTGATGACGATGATAAAGCATACACATCATTATCCGCAAATAATAACGATGTTGAGCTTAAAACTTTAACAGCAGAAAAAAAAGTACATTTTTTAGCGAGTGATGATGTTAACGATAATTGCTCAAGACTACCAGTGCACTTACGTAGTATTTTGTGTTCTGAAGGTAATGATAAGATCAATACTTCACCATCTGCACCGTCCATTAATAAAGTCGATAGCAATGAGGCTAACAAATCACTTGAACATAAATCTTCATCTCAGAAAACAGTGTCAAAAAATATTCCTATCGACAATGATAAAAATGATCCCTTTCTTACTTTTTTGGAGTGCAACAATAACAATGATAGAGAAGATATTTTGCTAACAGCAAATAAAACACTAAACTTGTTCAATTTTGGTGATATTGTTAAGGATGATACTACACCTACGACAAACAAGTCTATCAGTTACATTGAAACTTTTAAATTCAGTGCTGTCATAGATGAACAACAAAATGATCTGAACGTTTTTGCCTGTCCAGATAATGCTGATACCTTAACTCCAACAAAGAAGTCTAGCAGTTCAATTAAAACTATAATATCAAAATCTTTTGCTTATCAAATTGATGATGATAACGTAACTACAACTAAAAAGTCTGTCAGTGGACTGATCGATGAAGTGCAGCATGAACTCAATGAAGAACAAAACGATCTCAAAGTTTTTGCATATCCAGATAATGATGTTACCTTATCTCCAACAAGGAAGTCCAATAGTTCAATTAAAACTATAATATCCAGTGGCCTTATGGATAAAGAACACCATGACCTCAAAGCTCTTGCTTATCAAAATGATGATGATAACTTACCTACAGCTAAAAAGTCTATCAGTTCCATTAAAACTCTTAAACCTAGTGGCCTGACCGATGAAGAGCAGCATGAACTCAATGTTTTTGCTTATCAAAATATAATATATGAACTAAATAATAAAATCTTTTACTTAGAAAAAGGAACACAACAATCTCTACAATTAATGCAAATGGAATGCGATCTGTTAAATGAGAAAATCGAGACACTGTCGAAAGTTAATGAAAAGCTCACGAATGACAGAGATCTATTAAAGAAAACCTTAAAGAAAAATAAAACTCTTTTGTCAAAAGCGAAGAAACGTAAGGAGCACAAAAATGTCCCTACCGAAAATAGAGGAATGAATACTGACGGAATGAAAAATGAAATTAATGACGAAATCGATCGCAAAATCGGTGGTGAAATCAAAGACGAAATCAAAGATGAAATCGATGACAAAATTGAAAATGAAATCAATGATGAAATCAATCGTGAAATAAAACTACAAAGAGCTGGTCTAATGATATCCGCCATTTCTTCCGAAAGTGATCTTATTTACAATTCCATTCAGTTAAAGAGAAATGTAATGAGGGAAGCAGATATAGAGATTAATAACGCAATTGCTAAAAAAGTCGATTTAAATGTATACGATGATTATCTGAATGACATCACACGCGATAATGAAGAGTTATGTTTGGAGCTGGAAACATTACAAAAAAATGCATTGTATTCCCGAGCAACTCTATTGCAAATAACTACTGTAAGTTTTGTTCTAATCATAATTATTTCTTATATAATTTATGTTAAGTTGTTTTCTCATGAGTTTTAAATATTACGTACAACAAAAATTTTTAAATATTCAATTAATAAATTTAAAAAACAAATATAAAAGTATTTTACTAAATTTCTTTAAAAATTATATGATTACTACAAATCAATTAAGTTATAAATAAGAAATTGCGATAAGAGTAGCTAAAAGATTTATGAAGCAGTTGGTTTGCTATCTCAGAGTAATTGAAATCACTCCTCATCGATTACTTTCAAGCTGAGACAACTATTTAAATCTCATTCAAAGCTACGTATTAGTTAAAACCCTCTATAGATGTAATTTTGATTATATGTAATATCACTTGACTGTTTGATGGTACACATATATTTCTGTTTAATATATTTTTTATCTCAATATAATTTATAAATTTATCATAACATCAACTTTTACCTGTAACAAGGTGCACTGAATAGAAAGAATATAATATTTGAATATTTCTAGTTCCTTAGACGAAAGTCCTCTACCTATTGTGCTATCCATCTCAAACCAAAAGTATGTATGATTAAATTACTTAAACAAATTGAAATTTTTAGGATCTTAACTCTTCCCGCACTACACATACAAACCTCAGTCCAATCAAAACAGATTTTGCCGCGTTGATCCTAGTTGATTTGAATTTAAACCCTAAAAAACCGTATTCCATAAATAAGCAATCCCCCCCCCGCCCTACCAGCAGGCTTACCCATTCCAGTGGCTACATTTCTCCGCGTTGATCATAGTTGGTTTCGCAATCATCACCAATCCATCTCATTCCATAAATTCAACCCCCCCCCCCCCCCCCCCCCCCTACTACCACCATCTCCATCCACGTCTACCATTTCCCACCTGCATGCTATATATTTAACGTGCAATTTCTTCAGGTTGTCTACTTTTTAGATACCCACGGGCTACAACAAAACTTACGGCATAACCCTCTATTAGAACATTGACTTCAAATTATTTTTTATCTAGTTTTTTTTTTATAATATATAATTTATTTTTACAAAAAAAGACTTAATAATAATTTTATTGATCTTAGTGCTAACGCTCTTGATTGGAACCATAAGGTAACTTGAGGGTATAAAGACCCCTTACGCATGTTGCACTTCGAACAGAACTAACACAATGTTAAATAATAAAGACTACTCTGACTTACTAGAACTGTAGGTGACACCATTGATAATAATAATAAAAATAAATATTAGACAATTTTTAAAATAATTAAATTATTATAAATTATTTGGAATTCGAATGAAAAACTTTTTCATCAACTTTTTCATCAACAACCATTTTATTCTTCATGTCTTACATGGCCAAAAATGGTTCTTATTAAAAACACAGTTTTATTATAAAACCCCTTTTTTCCACTAAAGCTGCATTTGTATTAAAATTTGAATGTTTGTATGCACAAAATAACACAAAGCAAAACAAAAAGGAAGAAAAGACAATAAATCGAACTCAATTAACCACACAGCAAAAAACCGCTGACTGCAATATGTGGTAACGGTTATTGTTGCGGCGCTAACAGCACACGCATTGTCTTTTTTTTTTTTGTTATTTGTTTTTGTTTTTATACACAACATTTATGTTTACAATTTTGGTTAATGCACAGTTGACACTACAATGTTTTGCACGATTTCTGTTACAAAAAAAAAAAAGAAGTGAGTTAGAACGTGTGTGTGTGTGTGTGTTGCTAAACTCTTGAGTTAACCGAATTTTTGCGTATAGTGTACGCAATAACAACAATAAAGAGGAATACAAAAGTAAGAATAGAGGAACGGAAAATCTTTTTGCCCAAATAAACATTTTGTACAATTCGTATACGAGCACTGACCGCCCCCACATTATACAGAAAATAACCTTGGGAAAAATCGATAATGCACTTTTCTGAATAAATTCATTTAAAAGTTTAAATATAAAAAAAACAATTAACAATTAATTCAACATTATATTAACAATGCCATGAAAAAATTATTTTAAAAAAAAATTATTTGTTTTATTTCAAATAAAAATTATTTGAATATTTATTTTCATTCAAATAAAAATGCACATATTTATTCATAATTTTCTTTTTTCCAGCAATTTACTTACTAATATTTTTTTTATTTTGTATATGATATGCATACAAACATACATACATACATATATGGTTAATAATTAATGATTTTGATTTAATTGATTTATTTCTTTTTACAACTTCATTCGTGCGGAATTCACTCAAAAACCATCAGCAAAAACAACATAAAATTAAACTATTTTTTTTATAATTTTTTTTTTGTATATTTATTTAGCTATTTTTCTTATGGAAATTTTTTTTTTTTTAATTACAATGAAAATTTTTTAAAATCTCATATTTGATATAATTTCACTGTTTATGTATGCGTTCACATATTTATTATCGCACTACATGCTATATATTTAAATATTCGAAATTATGCACTTTGCACCGTCCTATGTCGTACGTCGTATGTCAGCGCATACGTTGGCGTTTCGAACTCATACTGCAATTGCCATCAAAACAGAAAATCTCCAAAGGCAGCCCAGCGCTGCTGCACAATTTCATAATTTGCGGCAGCACACATTTCCGCGTTTGCGCAAAAACTACACTGCAGAAATTGTCATTGCTTTTGCCAGGTAGGTGAGTGATGCATAATTAAACTAAACTAAAATAAAATAAAATAAAATATACTAGAATAATATAAATAATAATTAAGTATTTAACACTTATTATGATTTAATTTTGTTCACTAATAAAAACTTATTAAATATATTTATTTCATATTATTATATTAACTTCACTTCACCACGAGTGTAAATACATACATACGTACATAAATACATACATACTTACGGCATGCCACAAGAGTCTTAAATAAATGATTAGAATAAGAATGTGCACATACAAATTATTTATTCTGACACATTTGTTGCGGTGAATGAATGCAATTTCAAAATTATGTTGCGCCTGCCACAGCCAACAGGTTGCCAATTAAATAAAATCTTTCTCGAGCACTCAACTTATGTATGAATTTGAGAGCTATAATTTTTTTACGCCTTACAACATTTATTTTTGTTTTGTTTTTTGTCAGTTTATTACTGTTTACACTTAAACTAAAATGTTAGTAAACTCGCCAAAAGATGAGATTGGCCACATTTTAACTGGAACAAATATACTTTAATATAAATAAACATATAACCAAAATGACCAAATACATACACACATATAACAGATAGTACTAATAATAGTTATAATAAAATAATAGTTTAAGTAGTATAGTTTAATAGTACTATAATAATAGTTTAAGGCCTAGGAATTTCCTAGGAATTTTTCGCACTACGCTTATGTAAATATTTATTTATTTATTTATTATTTTTGGTTAAAAGTTTTAAATTAATTAAAACAATATAATCTTCTTAAAATAGGTATACATATTCACACCAATAAAGATAAAAATAATGAAAAAATAGGAGAATAATAATAACAAATATAATTTGACATTAAAGGGTAAGTCTGTTCTTTAGTAAATAATTTAATCGCATCACTAAAAGGTTGAACTACCCCAACAAAACCAACTTTATTAGGTCCTTTACGAATCTGAATGTAACCCAAAACTTTTCGTTCTAATAATGTTAAAAAAGCTACTCCCACTAAAACACAAATAATTAGTAATAAACTTCTTAATAAAGATACAATAATTTCACTTTAAAACAAGTACTACTTATAATTTTTAAATTATATTTATTATATTTATTTACTTATTTATTCAACAACTTATAAAATTTTCACAACGGTAACACTTAGTTTACCTAATTTTTATCTAATTTAACCTACTCGAAATTCTGGTAAATACCAACATTCGCTGCCATACAGACATAATTTACTATTTCCCTTAATTTACCATCAATTTACTCGAACTCGCACACGGCCATAATACGTTAAACTAAAAGAAAAATAATATAAAGGAAAATGATTTGAGAATTATTGTAAAAAAGTAAACAAATAAAAAGATTGCAAAAGTAACAACTGTCAAAATGAAACCCCAAAGGGTTGACGTAAACAGTTGACGTTTGGGAACTAATACTATATTCAGACATTCAAATTTCCTCAATTTCATAAAAATGAAATTAAGTTAATTTTGAAAGTATTGATATTGCCCCAAATTAAGGAAATCTTATGTTTTTTGTTAACAAATCAAATGTTATACTATATTCAGACAGACAAAATTTCCTTAATTTCGTAAAAATGAAATTAAGTTAATTTGGAAAGTGTATGTATGTGTGTATTCATACTGCCCCAAAACTAAGGAAATCATATGTTTTTTGTTTACAAATCAAATGTTATACTATATTCAGACAGCCAAAATTTCCTTAATTTCGTAAAATATCTGGGAAATTTTAAAAGTTGATTATTATAACTGTAAAGGATGACATTAAATAGTTTTATTAACTTTAGTGGATTTCAGGTATGTGGATTACTGTGTTTCACTCTATTTTAAATTAATAACAGTTACAGTTTTCTCAACATTTAAATCTAAAAATTTGCACTACTTTTAAAACATTTTCCCGGTTTTATTACAATGAACCGTCATTGACATTTATTTAAAAAAAGTCACTTTTTCGTTATCTCAACTTTGTCTTTTGCTTAAAATTTATCTTACGCATAGTTGCATTTGAAATGTCCTTTAATTTTAGCCCTCGTTTCAACGAAATAAAAGCCATTTTCCTTAGTTTCGTTCTAACCTTAAAACTGAATGTCTTTGTATGGAAAAAAACAATTTAATTTCGCTGAAACGAAGATGAAATTAAACTTTTTACAAAATTAAGCTACGTCTGAACATAGTATATAAACATGGTATGATTAAAATTTTAAACATATTATATATTAGATACATATACAGGGTTAGACGATTGAAATGTTACCTAATCAAGCGAAAATATCTTTTTTGTGTGAAATTATTTTTTATTGATTCAAATTACAAAAATTTGTGGAAATAATCAAAATTTTAGAACCATTCAGTCTAGCTCGTTATGGACACCTTTTGCCTTGACTAAGTCCTTTAAAGAATATAAAAATTAGTTACATGCCTTACGAATGTGATCTTGATCAATTACCATGAAGATAAAACACGGATAATTCCTTCTCTCCAAAGTCACAAATATCTTTATACTGTAGAGCTAGTCTCATAGCATGTCTTCCTAGTACGCAATGACCTGTAACTCCGATATATAGATTTTAAATCTTCTTATAGCTAATGATAGACACCGAAATGGAAAACAGTTTTCTCATCCACCAAGCCACAAACCTAATAAAAGTGGTTAAAGGGAAGACCTACTGCATGCCTTCCTAATATGCTGTAGTCTACCAGCACTAATCTTTTATTTTGAGCAGCTGGCTTGTGTGAATTTGTTTTAGGTGAGTCTTGTAATCTGAGAAAGATCTCAAAAAAAAAAACGCATTGAGTAGGCTGTCTGAATAATAAACAGATTTCTTAAAATATATGTTTTTAAAAATATATTTATAAATATAATACAAAAGTTAGAAATTATAAAAAATACTAGTATTTTATCAGTCTGTCTCTAAATGGATAGATGCTTTCCTTATCCTTTGAAATATTGAACTGGTTGGAATATCATAAAACAGCTAACTATTTCATTGATGGTGATTCAATTTGATCAGTAGTAATTAACGGGTCCAAAAGAGGTTGATTTGATTGAAAACGTGTTGATGTTACATGAAGACTATTCGATGAGTTTTCCTTTATATCATTGATGTTTTGTATAAGATTTAAGGCTCCCATTTGAAACTGCAGAAATTCCGCATTATTAAATTTTTCGAGATGAAGCATAAGGCTTTTCAAGAAAGTCGCTTTGTAACAAAATTTCTCTTCCTCTACAGTTTTTATAATTTGCGTACTAACTTCATTCATTCTTTTATGCTTTGTAGATGTTTTAGCACTTGATGACGATTCATTTGAAACTTCCTCCTTCTCATCCATGCAATCGATCGTTTTACCTTTTTCATAAATTTTGTTCAGGAATGACAATTGATCAGCATATATATATTTTCTAATTCTTATTGGTGCAGATCCATTTCTTTTTGTCGCTTGAATTCTTTTATTCTTATGCTTTAAATAACAGTCTCGAAGATTTTTCCACCTCTTGAATACTTCTACACCTAATATAAAACGAAAACAAAAATAAAAATATATTTTTAATTAGGGCACACGTACAGCAGATATATCGAGTGCGCTTTTTGAATTCAAACCAATCAATGGGTATTCTTTCGTCGTCAAAATCATTTTTAAATAGACTACACAATTGCCATTATAAATGTAAATATTGTTCCGTAATATTTTCTAAGCAGAAATGTTTAAAACCGAGTAGATATAATGTCTATGGTAAGTTTGAATGATTTGAATAGAGATGAAACCGTAAGAATCGGATCGACACCAAATACTAACAAAATGTTTCTACAGTGAACATTGACAGAATTCAAAAGAATTTATTAATACATAAATTATAATATAATAATAATTATGTTTTATATGTTAATTTACTTACGAAATGTAGCTTGCTCATTTATACTCAGACTTTTAAAGTTTGGGTGAAGCGCTTCACACACTTCACGCCAGGCATCTCTCGTAGCAATCCTGTCCATGTAAGTTTCCGTAAATTTATCCCATAGTACGGGTTTGGCTTTTATTTTTTTTATTAATAATGTTATATCTATGTGTTCCATTATTTTTTAGTTTCTTTCATAAGCGAGATTAACACTTCTCTAGTTGCTTCAAATATCTTCAGTTTTCTCTCTCTCGACACATTTGTCTATACCTTTTTAATAAAATAAAAATATATTTGAATAATCTATATAAGCACACATACTGGTATTATTAAATATAATATAATATAAATCTATAATTCTTTTTAAGTCCATAATTGTTTCAGAACTATAGCATGTGGTACCATCTTGTTGGTACCATACACCTTCCAGACCATTTTCACGCACTTTTGCAAACAAGAAATTGTTCAACATGCCTCAATATCGGAACGAATTGATAGTTACAATTTTTTTTCGTCTTTGAAAAAATATGGTCTGGTAAAGCAACCCAATCCATAATAATAAATTGATGAAATTTATACCATAAACCGCACTAAACTTCAAATCACCATTGGACTTATCTTTCCAAAATGTAACGATTTTGCTTTGGCGTTGAGCAAACATTTGTAGCAAAAAATGGATCGACTTCTAACCTTTCAAACGCTTGTTTACAATATTTATTTTACAGTCTGGAAATGTTTGTAAATCACTGTCTTAAATATAGATCATTGGTTCTTGAGCCTTTGGAGCAATTGCTACAAATTTAACTACGTTTCTCTTTCAGAGCAAAGGATATTTTACGAAAAAAAAAAATGATGTCCCAAATACCTCAACAAAACTGTTTTTTTAGGTCTATTAAAAAAATATAATGATTTTATATAGAATTTATATTTGGAAAAATTATTTTTCTTAGGAATAGACTTGCGAAAAAATAGCACTCATATTTGCATTCTCATTTAAGGTAGTATGCGAGTTCAAGTAAATTGAGGTAAAGTAAATTAAAATTTCCTAGGGATTTTTTGCACTGCAGTTATGCAATTATTTATTTATTTATTACAGTTATTTATTATTTTTGATTAAAAGTTTTAAAATTTATTTATTCAATATCTTATAAAATGTTCACAATGGTAACACCTAATTTACCTAATTTTTATCTAATTTTCCCTACTCGAAATTCTGGAAAATACCAATATTCGCTGCCATACCGACGTAATTTACTATTTCCCTCAATTTGCCATCAATTTAGGTCGTGTGCGAGTTAGGCTAAGTTGCGTTCTAAATGAGGGAAATTCTAAGTTGCGCCGATAATGTGGTGATGTGTCGATACGTGTTGATAAATGGCTAAATGTGTGCAGTGCGAAAAATCCCAAAAAATCTCCCATTTGGTTTAGCATCAACTTAGCCTAACTCGCACACGTCCTTAGTCGAATTCGCACAAGGTCTAAATATAAGTCTATGATCACCCCTATAGATAAAATTCATGCGACGATTTTATCTATAGTACGTTTGTGCAAAAATCAAATGGTCTAAAAATTAAATTCCACGATATTCTCTTTTTATTTTCTCTTTCAATTTTTGTTTACTTAAATAAGTTCCACATGGCATATGTTCCATAAGTTGTATTTTCATTAGTTGCTATTTGGGTCTCCTCGCTCGCTATCTTCTTTCATTCCTTTTTGTTATGTTATTCTATTCAATGAAATTATATTAACAAACAAGGGAAGGTGGAAAATCTAAACAAGCACATACACATGAAAAAACAATAACAACAAATTATTCTAAATATTAAGTCACACATTGATTGCTATTTTCATTATAAACTATAAAATTTTTTGTTTTTTTTTTACATTTTACCCTTAAAATGCAATTTTATAAATGTAAACATATTGCTCGTATACACACTATGAGCTAAAAAATAGCATATTTAGACATGAATTACAAACTTTTATTTTTCCATTTTAGGAGTCAGAATTTTATTTTATTTTTATTTTAATAAACAATCTAAAATCAACTATTCATTGTATAAGAAACACTAAATTATTTCTAATTATCAATTGAAATAAATGTACCCACAAAAGACCGACTCGGCTAGCAAAGCAGCTGTAAACAACTACAGTACGAATCAACGTTTATTATAGATTTTAAACAAAATTGCATTTGAAAAGCAACAATTTGTTGCAGTCGAAAAATAATAGTACAAATAAAAACACAAATAAGTTTAAGTACCGTTGAAAATATGCACAAAAATATTAAAAAGAAAATTGTTTGAAATAAAACCTTCCATAAACAATTTCCGATATAATTAACACACAACACAACAAATAAAAACTTTATTTTTCTATCAAAATAAACGTCACATACGCACATCAACACAAATATGAGAAAGAGCAAAAACACTGCACAATATAAATGCACATATGCCTATCAGTGTGGTGTAGAATGAGTGAGCAAAGCAGAGAACTCGTCAGTCAGTGCTGTAGTTAGAAGTTGCGAACTGAAAAGCAAATAATTTCCCAACAAAATTTAACAAACAGCTGAAAAATTCAAAACAATTTTTTTTTCTTTGACTCTTCTTCTATTTAATATATCATACAACACACACTCACATACATATATATTGAGTACATTGAAGTATTGTGTAAGCAATTTTGTTGTAAGCAAATGAACCGCTTATGATTCGATGAATACTCGTGCCGAATATGAGTAGGAACCAGTCGCGAAGGAAATGGCTAGAAGGGAATGAACTGAACATGAACAAATAATAAATAAGTAATTTTTTATTAGCTCGAAAGCTAAAAATCTCTCGTGCATACTCGCGAACGTGTATTTTAAGAACTCAGTGTTTTGTTGTACTTTGCAGTGTAAGTTTGTGTATATTCATGCAGTTATTTATTTTATTATTTCTCCAAATTAAAAAAATTAAGAACAGTTCTAACGATGAAAACAGATACCGATAAATATTATAAAATTTTAAAGCATGTCAATAAAATTATTTGCTTACATTGTCAAAAAACGTTAAACGGTATTAATACATCTAATATCAAAAGACATTATAAAGACGTACATAGCATTGAAATTCCGAGAAAATATGAAATAAAAATTAATGGCACGGAAAAACGTGTAGAACCTCTAGCCAAAGAGCATAATCAGGAAGGTATATATATTGATATCGACAAAAATAAATTCTTAAGATGTTGTGTGGGATTAGTAGCTGCCAAAAATCTACCTTTTGGTATATATGATGATGAAGAATTTTTTAAAATCTTGATAGCACCATATGAAAAGAAATTCAACACGAATCTAAACTCAAAGAATATCGTTTCATTGATTGAATACTCCTCTCTAAAAATTCAACAAATAATAACAGAACGTATTAAAAATAAAATGATATGTTTAGAATTCGACATTGCAACCGCAATAAATCGGGATGGTATAATAGTAATTAATGTACACTATATCGAGAACTTTAAAATATGCATTAATACAATAGGTAAATATCATATATTATATATAATATATCATATATTATTAACTACTTATCAATTACTGCATTTTTATTATAGGTGTTATTGTGTTGGAACTTACACAACGTCAACAGACAGCATATCTGAAAGAAGAGATTAGTAAATGTCTTGAAATTTATCAAATAAGCGTTGACCAAATTTATTCCAGCACATCCAATAATTGTGGAAATATACTGCAAATAAACAAATTACCACAACCTCACAATTTAAAAGATAAACAAATTTATAATGAATTTATGGAAGAAAAATGTAGTCATATTGAAAAGACTGACGAGAGTATTCACTCCATACTCTCAATGGCATTATCTGTGGGTAAGAGTATAGCTCATACAATACAGCTTGCAGCATATGATGTATTAAAACTTCTGGAAGCTGATATAAACGAGTGTAGAGATATTGTGAAGCAACTTCAAGAAAATTTTCCAGTAAATGATACTCAAGTACAATTTCCAAAACTGGATGATTCTCGACGTTGGTACTCAACATATGAAATGTTGTTTTCTTTATTACAATCGAGACAAGTAATAGAAAATTGGTATATTAAAAAAAATGTCGTTGTTGATATCAACTGGAACTTTATCACAAGCTTCGTAGTTGCTTTTAATCCATTTGTTACTTGTACAAAGAAAATGCAAACAGAGCAATATGTAATAGGCGATTTCTACAGAGATTGGTTATGTTGTGAGATAGATTTGGAAGATTTATACACAATTACACCATATGCCTCACTATTACATGAATCTATGCAAAAAAGTAAAAAGGTATTTCTAGATGATGACGCTTTTCTTGCAGCACTATATCTTGATCCTCGTTTTAATTTCGAAAATTCAATCGTACTATCTGAGGAACAAAAATATACAGCTATTGTAAGTTTCCATTCATAATATAATGCTCATTTGTATAAGTATATACCATTTCACTTTTAGGCAAATTTGTTAAAAACATTTGAAATTTTAAAAAATTTAGAAGACTCACAACCAGATTGTCTAAAGATGGAAGTAGATACTCCAAATATGTCATCATCTTCGTTTGTGTTACCTTCAACTTCTTCCGAATCAACTTATTCAAAACTGGAACAACGCATGATGCAGTCAATGACATCTATAAGCAACGCTAATAGACACCTTACCTGCAAACAGAAGATAACATTACTCTCAAATCAAAAGAAGGTTCCCCTCGATACTGACATATTGAATTTTTGGAAAACTACGGGCTATGATAATGATATTAAAAAAATAGCATCAGTAGTACTGTCAGTTCCAATAACGCAAACGCCTATGGAGAAAGCTTTTAATGCCTTGTTTACAATTTTAAACAATTTCGAGTCAAAACTTGATAATAACACATTAAATACTTTGCTTTTAACTAAATTAAATTTTATAGAGCTTTACGTGAATAATGTACATTTAGATTTTGTAAAAGAGAAAATAGTCGTTGAAGAAGTGAATAAATAAAATTTACTTAAAATGAAACAAGATGAGGTAGAATTTTTACATAAAAAGTTGGTAGATATTAATAAATTACAACAAAATACAGCAAATAAAGTTAAATATTGTTGACCGCGGTGTATTATTTGGACTTACATATATGTACCTCATAAAATTTAATACCTAATCAGTCAATACTTCTAATAATAATGGTATCATGTTGAAACTCCCTACTGGATGCATTGGTCGATCCCTCTCTTCACTTTACGAATACATCAATATCTCTTGTAATGGAACGAACATTAGTGAGATCGAATATAAACGGGAACAGTCCTGCACACAGATATAGTATTCATTTCGAAACCACGGTTGCACTGCAACAAAGCTTTCATTAGACTCCAGCTTAAAATCGCAACGTACAACGCCTTGCCTTTGCAGCAACTGTCCTAGCTCAATTAAGATCAGGATATAGCCAAGTAACTTATCACACTTATATGCATCAACTTTCAATGTCTACACTAACTTCAAACCCATGATGTTGTCGATCTGTTTTCCTGCACCTATGCACAAAAAATTTGAGTCCAATCAACATTCATTAGAGTGGCTCGGGTTTTCCGCTTGGACCCTAGTTACCTTCAATTTAAATCCCACATGCAGCCCCAATATATTCTTAGTCCGAAATATTCCTGCCCCCTCTCTTCTGCTATCGTTACTTACCCACATCTTAATCTATGTGTACGCCTTTTATAATTACTTGATTTCATTTGTTCGATAAATCTCTGCGGAATACAATAATAAGGCTATCACTTAAATATAGATTTAGTGAGAGTCTAGCTATGTATAATGTAAAAATATTGTACTTAATTTATCACAATATTTTGCCAATAATTTTATATGTGAGCTATAATAGATGTTGGAAATTCCGTCATTCAAATTTATTTCATTAAAAAACTTTAAGTTTATTAATTTGTTTTTTCATTTTTAAAAGGAATTTATATATTTTATTTTTAGTAAAGACAAAAATAATATCCTTTTTAGTGAAGCCATTGATAATCACGTTCATGTATCTTATCTTGATTATTAGGCAGATATCTATCGGGACTCTAAAATTCCCCACAAACTTTTGTCCATAGAAGCGTGCAAAAATGGTCTAAAATATAATTAAACTCCACTAATTTCTCTTTTGAATTGTTTTTTTTTTTGTTTTACTTGAACAGCTGTTTTATGTTCCACATGCCTTCAATTTCATATCCACGGCGTTCCTTTTTGTTTTGTTGTCTTTTTTAATAACATTTAACTCACGAACAAGAGAAGGAGATGGAACGGTATTATACGATTATGACCAAAACAAAACAATAAAAATAATAATAAAGAATACTGCACGTGGAGGAGCAACTTAATATTTCTGTCAAGACAAATAAGGTATACATACATACATACATACATATGTATATAAACACAAAAGAAAGAGCAAAAATGTTGATGAATACAATTGAATTATGAATGTTTGTGACCGAAAGTGCAAAGCAAAGGAGAATTTTTAAATACTTTTTGAATTTAAACATGCAGGCCTAAAGGTCTGCAATTTTGAACATTTTTTGTATATAGTGAACATATTTGCTACCTGCATAATTCTTTTCCTTCTAGTTATTCTCCCTTCATTCCAAACTGTTTGTGTTTTGCTTGTAATCTATGTGTGCGTATGTATGTAAACTCAGCGTATGACGTACAGTACTGTACAGTTGTGAACAAATGAACCACTCATGATTCACTCGACCCGAAAACCAAACCAACAAAACGAAGTGAACACGAACACGACAAGTAAATGAAAAACCACTTCTGGTGCATACTCACGAGTCTACGTGTGTAGAGAAGTCAGTATATACTTGAACTTATGAGTGTCAGCCGGCGTTTTTGCGAATTAATTTTTTGTGTTTTGTTGAGTTTAATAAAAATAAATTAAAATATGAAAACAGACACCGATAAATACTACAAATTTTTAAGACATGTCAATAGGACTATTTGTTTATATTGTCAAAAAACCTTAAGTGGTACAACTACATCCAATATTAGAAGGCACTATAAAATTGTGCATAGCATCGAAATTCCGAGAAAGAAAGAAACACAAAGCAAGACTAAAGAAGAATGTGTAGAGACTCCAGTGAAAGAGCGTAAAACCCAGGAAGGAATATGTATTGATATCGATAAAAGTAAATTCTTAAGATGTTGTGTGGGATTAGTAGCTGCCAAAAATCTACCTTTTGGTATATACGATGATGAAGAGTTTTTTAAAATCTTGATAGCACCATATGAAAAGAAATTCAACACGAATCTTAACTCAAAGAATATCGTTTCATTGATTGAAAATTCCTCCGTAAAAATACAACAAATAATAAGAGAACGTATTAAAAATAAAATGATATGTCTAGACTTCGACGTTGTGAAAATAATGGACTACAAAATGCTTGTAATTGATGTTCACTACATACAGGACTTTCAAATCTGCATTAATACGATAGGTAAAATAATTTATTTATATATAATTAATTATACATTTATAATAAATAATTGAAAATATTGTAGGTGTCATTATGTTAGATCGTAAACAACAGGATCAGACAATATATCTGAAAGAGGAGATTATCAAATGCCTGCAAAGTTATCAAATAGACATAAACCAAATTTATGCCAGTAAGTCTAATTGTGGATGTTTGCCGCAAATAAGTACTATGATTCACACTGTGAAAGAAGAAAAAATTTGTGATGAATTTATTGAAGAAAAATGCAATTATGTTGAAAATATTGACGAGGACATACATTCAATACTCTCAACAGTTTTATCTGTTGGTGAGAGTATAGCCCATACAATACAACTTGCGGTTAACGATGTACTTAAAAATCTAGAAATTGAAATCCAGAAATGTAGGAACATTGTTATACTGCTTAGAAAAACATTTGAAGAAAGTGACTCTCAAGTGCAAATTCCAAATCTAGATAATTTGCAAAATTGGTATTCCACTTACGAAATGTTATTTTCTTTCATACAATCGAGACAAACAATAGAAACTTGGCATATACAGAAAGATATTATAATTGATATCAATTGGGATTTCATAACAGACTTTGTAGTTGCCTTCAATCCATTGGTAACATGTAGAAAAAAAATGCAATCGGAACAATATATTATAGGAGATTTCTACAGAGATTGGTTATGCTGTGAAATAGAATTAGAAGATTTATTCTCAGTTACTCCATATGCCTCAATATTACATGAATCCATGCAAAAAAGAAAAGAAAAGGTGTTTCTAGACGATGTCACTTTCCTTGCAGCACTGTATCTTGATCCTCGTTTCAATTTTGAAAACTCAATTGTGCTATCAGAAGAACAAAAATCTACAGCTATAGTGAGTTCTGATTTTTACAAAAAATTTCATTGAATATACATACTTATAAAATATATACAACAATTATCGTTTTAGGAAAATTTGTTAAAAACTTTTACAAATCTTAAAAAGTTGGAGGCTTCACAACCAGAAGACTGTAAAATGAAATCAAATTCTTCAAATACTTCATCATTTGTTTCATGTGATTTGGCGTCCACCTCTTCCGGTTCAACTTATTCGAAACTAGAACAACGTATGATGCAGTCAATGATGTCCATTAACAAAGCAAATACACATCTTACCTTCAAGCAGAAAATTACATCACTCTCAAATCAGAAGAAGGTTCCCCTCGATGCTGATATATTAAATTTTTGGGTAACTACACGACTTGACAATGATATTAAAAAAGTTGCTTCCATAGCACTGGCAGTTCCAATTACACATGTGTCCATTGAGAAGGCTTTTAAAGCGTTATCTACAATTTTACCTAAGTTAGAATCAACTGTAGATAATGACACATTAAATTCATTACTTTTAACTAATTTAAATTTTGTAGAACTTTACCTAAATAATACCCAAATAGACTTTGCAGATCAAAACATATTAGTATTAAATGAGGCGGATATAGATTAATATAAGAAAAGTTTTGATTTTAAAAAATAAAAACTATCAGAGAATTGTGAGGAACCTATTAACAGAAATGTATGCGTACCAGAAGTTTTTTTATAAGACAAAAACACATAAACACTAAAACATTAGTAAATTTTTGTGAATATCTTTCATATAGGGTGGGTAATATCTATTAGAGTGGCCCTCAATTGTGTTTGGAAATTTCTTTTTTCGAGTCACATTGGTTATCTCATAATTAAGTATCTTAGTGGAATGGAAAAAGATATGGAAAGAATTAAAACAAAAAGCTGAAATTATTGAAGTAGGGCTTTGAAGTACTGATTCCATCTTATAACAGCATACATCGTAATTTTTTAATTATTTTTTTTATTGAAATATATATCGATAATATGAAATTTTGCAACAAAAAAAATTAAATTTCTTAATAATTTTTAGCTATATTAAAAGGTTCCAGAGATATAGACTGGTTAAAATGATCACATCTTTTTAAGTATTTTGTATGGTTTTTCAAAAAGTTCTACAAAATTTAATTTTTTTTTAAATATTTTCACACACTTAAAAATTTATAGAAAAACATTTTAAAAATAAATTAAAATTAAATTAAAAATCATTTTTAAAAATTTTTATTTTAATTTTCAATCCTACATTTGGTAAAACTAAAACTTATTTTCTTTAGTATTCATTTTTTTTTTTTTTAATTATGTAATTATTTCACTTCAATGGGGGAATTGTGCCTTATAGCGATTTCTATACGCTGACCACTGCGGTTCCTTAAGGTCCGCAGAGAGTTATGTGGACTGTCACGGGCACGTCAAAATCAAAATTGTTGTTGCTTTTAATGCAAATCAAGAAACTGAGAGTAAGAGAAAAAAACAAATGATTTAAATTCAGTCATGAGAGCCGAGGCCATATATGCCTCCTCACCCAGTCAAACCCAAGTTGTATATATATTATTTTTTGATATACATATATTTTCTTATATTTCTTATATTTTGGTTCCTTTTTGGTACTACACAAATTTCCTAGGGATTTTTTGCACTGCCCTTATGTAAATATTTATTTATTTATTTATTGCACTTATTTATTATTTTTGGTTAAATGTTTTCAAATTTATTTATTTATTTATTAAACATCTTATAAAATTTTCACAATGATAACACCTAATTTTTATCTAATTTACCCTATTTGAAATTCTGGTAAATACCAACATTTGCTGCCATACCGACATAATTTACTATTTCCCACAATTTACCATCAATTTACTCGAACTCACACACGCCGAGTTTTTTACTTTACTTTATATACATTTTTAAATTAATATAATAAAAAAAATGAATAAAATTAAACATTTAAAAAAAATGTATAATATATTAAAAAGCAAATATTTAAATTTTAAAAATATGGAAATTCCTTTTCTAAGCTCAGGAATAATCACGAGTGTGTATTTTAAATATCTCTCTGGTATTCAAAATTTCAGTTATGGATTTATCTATAGAAAAAAGCAAACGAAATGGTCTAAAAATAATTTTAAGTTCCACTTATTTCTCTTTCAGAGGTTTCATTTATTAGAAGTGCTGCTCTATGTTCCACAGTCATTTCGTTTCAGATCTACTTTGTATCTTTTTCATTTTCTTTTTGTTCTGTTATTGTTTTCAATATTTTATTAACGAATAGCAGAAGAAAATATGGAATTATTTTATACGCGTATACGACCAAAACAAAACAGTAAAATATTTTAGTATTTCTGTGTGTAAAATAAACAATAAAAATAAATGTGAAACAATACACACACAGTATTATGATGAGGAGAAAGATTTACCCGCTGAGCAATGCAAACAAAACAATATGTCGGCGTGTATAGTAGTATGAATGTGCAACATGTAGTGTAAACCGAAAAACAAGTGTTGTCAATAGTATTTGTGTAATTTTAAAAGCAATTTAAAATAAACTCTACAACTGAATAACACAATAGCACAATAACAATGTACACAGACAACCCATTTGCTAGCTCACCAGTTTTTTCATATTGCTTTTGTTCTATTTATCATTCCACACATAAACGTTTTAATATTTTGCATATGTATGTATGTGCATGCGAACTGTTGTGTGTGTGTGTGTGTAAGTAAATATATAGAAGCACTTATGAATTCAATGAATACTCGCCTCGAATAGCGTACCGTGGCAAACCCGAATAGCACAGAAAAAGCAAACGAATAATGATTAGTCTGTGGTGCTTAATCACAAGTCTATGTATAGAGAAGAGAACTCAGTGTTTTGTTGTACGTTGTAATGTAAACTTGTGTTTGTGCTGGGAATTCATTTATTTTTTTCTTGTCGTTATTGAATATAAAACAAATAATTTTAAATATGAAAATCGACAATAGTAAATTTTATACAAAGATAAAAAATAATAAAAGCATATGTCTCTATTGCCAAAAAGTAGTATTGGGACCAACGACTTCGAATATTAGAAAACATTATAAAGACGTACATAACATAGAAGTACCGAGGAAAATAAAACAAAAAAGCGTTTACGAAGAATGTGCAGAGGCTTCTTTCACAGAGCGTGTAAATCGGGAAGGTGTACGTATTGATATTGATATAAGTAAATTCTTGAGATGTTGTGTGGGATTAGTAGCTGTCAATAACTTACCGCTTGACATATATGATGATGATAAATTCTTCAAAACGTTAATAGCTCCATATGAAAGAAAATTCGGTACAAATTTAAACTCAAGAAATATAATTGCAGTCATAAAAAATTCTTGCATAGAAATACAACAGATAATAAGAGAGCATATTAAAAATAAAATGATATCTTTAGAATTTGAAATTGCAACCACAATGGACAATAGATTTCTTGTAATTAATATACACTATATCGAAGACTTTAAAATATGCATTAATACAATAGGTAAATATCATATAATTATATTTGTTAAATACACTTATACTTATACTTAATAAAATTATTGCTATAGGTGTCATTATGTTAGAGCTTAAACAACATCATCAGGCAATGTATCAGAAAGAGGAGATTATCAAATACCTACAGACATATCAAATAGACATGGAACAGATTTATTTCAGCACATCTAATAATAGTGAAAATATACCACAAATAAGTAACATAATTTCCAATGTTAAAGAAGAGCAAATTTCTGATGAATTTATTGAAGAAAAATGTGGTAGTGCCGAAAATAATGATGAGAACATACACTCAATATTCTCAATGGCTTTACATGTGGGTCAGAGCATTGCCCATACAATCCAAGTGACAGTTTACGATATACTTAAAAATCTAGAAACGCATCTCAACGAATGTAGGGACATTGTTATACAACTTCAAAATACTTTCTCGGAAAGTAATGCCCAAATACAAATACCAAATCTAGATAATTCACAACATTGGTATTCCACTTATGAAATGTTATACTCCTTGTTACAAATACGACAACCAATAGAAACCTGGTATATACAAAGAGACATTATTATCAACATCAATTGGAATTTCATTAGAAACTTTGTAGTTGCCTTTAATCCGCTGATAACATCTACAAAGAAAATGGAAACAGAACAATATATTATAGGTGACTTCTACAGAGATTGGTTATGCTGTGAAATAGAGTTAGAAGATTTATTCTCAATTACACCATATGCCTCACTGTTACATGAATCTATGCAAAAAAGAAAAAAGGTACTCTTAGATAATGGCGCTTTCCTCTCAGCCCTGTATCTTGATCCTCGTTTTAATTTTCAAAACTCAATTGTGCTAACCGAAGAGCAAAAATCAATAGCTGTTGTAAGTTTTCATTTAAAAAAAAATAATATTCATTGTGTAAATACATCTATATGTATTATTCATATAAACAATTTTCTTTTTAGGCAAATCTGCTAAAAACTTTTAAAGTTCTTAAAAAACTGGAAGATTTAAAACCTGGAGGTTTAAAATTGAAGGAACCACAAGTAGAAGGCCTTAAGATGGAATTAGATTCTTCAAACACTTCATCAAATGTTTCATTTGAGTTTCCGTCAACTTCTTCTGAATCCACTTATTCAAAACTGGAACAACGTATGATGAAGTCAATGATATCCGTCAGCAATCTAAATGCGCAACTTACTTTTCAGCAAAAGTTAACATTACTCTCAAATCAAAAGAAAGTTCCACTTCAAACTGACATATTAAGTTTTTGGAATACACCAGAGCATGATCATGACATTAAAAAAGTTGCATCAGTAGCACTGGCAGTACCAGTTACACAGGTGTTCATGGAGAAAGCTTTCAATGCATTATCTACAATTATAACTAAGTTAGAGTCAAATGTAGATAATAACACGTTAAATTCTTTACTTTTAACTAAGTTAAACTTTGAAGAGCTTAACTCAAAGAATATCGATTTAGATATTTCAGATCATAATATTAGCCGTAATTTTTTCTTTCCAAATAACAAAAAAATAATCAAAACTTACGAAAGAAAAAATATTAAGCAACAACAATGCTCTGAAAATGTTCAGAGTTAGGTTTTACTCGCAAATATTTTTACGTCTTAAGTTTTAGTGCAGCCAAATTCAAAAATCAGTCTACAGTATATTTTCAATGGTAATATGTTGCAAAATTCCAGTCATCCATTAAAATCATATGAGCATTTCATTTATTCATAAGTTCTAATCTATAAATAAATAAATTAATTTAAATATATAAGATAAAAATGCTTACTATTTTCCATCTAATATTCATTTTGTTTTATTTTATTTAAATTAATTAATTTTTAATATTTACAATTCTTATATATCATATTCTACACAACACAACAAAAAACATATGTCAATAATAAGCATTTAACATATTTTAAAAGTGATACCAATTTGTTTTAACTAAACTGAATGCTGTTCTTTTTCAACTCTGAAAGAAAAAAACGGCTGTTATTAAAGAAAGTGGATAATATTTAAGTTTTCAGTTTTGCTGCAGCCTAAATACCTTTTACAATGCATTGGGATTATCACGTTCGGATTAGAATCGTAATTTTCGTAATTGTATAAATAGAGAGAACACCACTAGGAACATCTATATTATGGATGCACTTATTTCATCGGTTTTATTCATCATAAGGGTGATAGGATAGGAGTGTGGCATCATGAATCATATCAATCCATTTTAAGGATATGCTTTTAATATGGGTATTAATAAGAGTAAGGTTGAGGTTGAGACAGAGGGATAGAATTGTGAACGATGAATCCATATTATGAGTAAAACCATTTTATGGACTTTTAGAAGTGCTCTCTGTTTTCAGTGTCTTTATACATTTGGTCAGACTTATTTTTGTTATTATAATTAATTATAAATGATTTTGTATTACTACAACATCTTTATACAGAGCAAATTTATATAAAGAAATGTATATCTTTCTAACAACATAAGGAATCCAAAGATTTTGTTAACTTTATGTAAAGAGCTGTATTGTTTGTTTCAATCTCTTATTAAATATACTCTTAATTATTTTTTTATACTCTTAATTAAGGGTAATTCTTTCAATATAATATTGATATTAAATGATATGACTAAAAAAAAATATGTTTTAAATTAAATTTAATAAATCGCATAAAATATACATACATATAATTTGAAAAATTGAATAATTTTATAAAATAATTTATTGTTTGTAATAGAAAATTACTCAGCAGGAGGAGCCTCTGCTTGGTCCCCTTCAGCAGCTTCAGCTTCATCACCTGGTATATTTGCTTCTTCTGGTTGTTCAATTGGTGGTTCTGTTTCATCACCTCTTTCATCTTCAGCTGGTTCCAGAGCTTCCCCATATCCATCGTCCAAAATTTCGGCACGTATGACTTCATCTTGGTCCATTAGTTCTTCACCTTCAACGGATAATTGATCAGGCAATTCAGACTCCTGCATATTTTCGGAAATTAACATTTCCGCAGCTCTTGAAATTAAATCATCTTGACATTCGTCTTCTTTAGGGATAACTGATTTTTTACTACAAGCCGAAGTTTTGCTACCAGCTGATGTTTTACTAGCAATTGAAGGTTCTTTTAATAAACAAGTCATAAGTGGATTCTCAGGAATTTCCGTACTAGTAGATATAGATGATTCATCCCATTCTGGTGTTTTCACTCGTTCTTCACTCTTACATACTTTTGGCCGTGTCATTTTTGCTTTTACATACTCTAAACAAGGGTCCGGTTCTTTTGCATGGTAATCATCGCCATCAAAATCAGAACATGTAATACAACTTGATGAACTCAATTTCATTGATGACCCAACCGACATAAATGAACTAATAATTGTTGTAGATTTTCGACAACTATCGGTACTTGTTTTGGGTTCTACTTGTCGTGCTGGATGTTCTAATGCAGTTTGTTGTGCTTTTTCTCTTTTTAGTGGACTTACAGTATCACTGCACATATTTGTCATAATCGGTACGTTACTATTGGACATCATTAACCATTCAGACATGACACCACACCAATTTTCCAATAATCCTTGACTCTGTATATCATATGCTTTCTCAACAACAGTACTTGTAACTTTGCTTTTACAAAAGCTCTTCTTGTCTACTACAAGTGAGGGTTCCAATATATCTTAAATTTAATAAATTATGTTATAATTACATATATACATATTAATAAATTGAAATTTTATGTTAGACTTGGATGGAGTGGAGTGGCGGGCTTATACAGCAAAACTGTAACCACTTTCAGTCCAAATAATGATCCGTTTTGATTCGCAAACCAAAGGGACCATAGTGGTCACAGTATAGATAGCGCTTAAAGCCGCGACTCCTCTATTCAAGTGAATTTCATGTTAATAATATGTAAATATATTTACGATTTGGGAAAACAAATGATATTTCATGTAGAGCATCCGCTTTGCTTTTGCTTACATGCACGAATTCACTCATGACTCTGGAAGAGCAGCTAGAAAAATCAAAAAAGCCATTAGCGATATCTTTTAGTAATAATAAATTAAGAAAAAAAAACTATATATAGTAAAATATTTTATAAATCATATATGACATATTGAAATTTTAACCACAAGACATTCGGGATGAAGAGTAGCTCCGGGACGTAGACTCGCACGCACCTGGTATCACTTAAATGATACCAAAAGTTTACTTTCAATATATTTTACCTTCCATAAGTGAACCTTAAAACTCTAAGGGCGTATTCACAGTCGTCAAGAATATGTGGGGCACTTTGCTGCTACGAGTGACAATATTAATACTTTAGAGTACCCTTAAGGTCCCATTTTCTCATTGCTGCTAGGTATTCTTACTTTAATTGACACATCTAATTTATATTGCACCATTTCGTCATCATAGAGTGTAACAACGAAGTAAGAAGTATTTAGTTCAGCTTTATAGAATAAGCCAAGTATAGGCTCCAAAGTACATAAGTAATACATTTCATGAAATTCTTGCCAGTTTTTGGATATTGTTTTTCACTTTGAGCAATTTTCCGATAATATGCTCTTTATACACCAAGGTTTTATCAATAGTTAACCCCAAATATTCCTAAATAGAATTGTATCTGATCAATCCATTACCATTAAAAGTAGTAAGCGTGATTCTATTTATCATTACATGGTTTGGAAAAAGACAATGGTGCCTAAGCAGATCTCTAAGATCACCGTATTAAGCTTGACTAATAACTAATATAATATTGCTAACATTTGTGCTAGTAATAACAAATTCAAGAAAACCCTATCTTGTAGAAAGCACATATTTTCCACATCCATATTTTGAATTACCTCCACTCCACCTCTAAAAAATACTAGCAAGCCTATGGTTGTAGAGTTTTAAATTGACAGTTTATGTTACATCTATTACATTTGAAGAAAAAGTGCGAACCTACCGCAAGTACAGACGAAATACGGTACCATACAGTGATTTTACGTATATTCTTTCTACAGTTGGTTGTTGTTGTTGTAACCCGCTGGGACCTTCTTGTGGAGTCCCTTTGAGAGGTGTTGAATGGTACTTGGTCGTCGTAGGTGACGAGTGGCTCCGGGACGTAGACCCGACCGTTCTTGGAACCCTACAGCTGTTATGGAAAATCGTCACGTCTACGTTTATAGGATGTTGAACGATTCATGTTGTAAGATGACAATCCTTAAACTAATTATAAGCTTTGGATGTCAATTTTGCTTAACATATGCCACTTAAACAGTGCTGCCAAATCAGGCGGACAAAGTGGATAGCTCTTAATAAATTTATATTTATTTTTATGAGTGTTTCATTAACTTTTTACGTATATATACTGGCTAAAAAAAGTTTCACATATAGAATTATGCAGCATTCTCTTACAATTACTTACAAATAGCAAATCATAGTGTTTAATAAATGTTCTATTGCATTTTCTTTAGTCACCAAAATAGCCTCACATCTACCTTTCGAGAGTAAAATAACTTTTCTCATAAATGTTGATTCTTCTTCATTTTTATAAAATTCAGCGGCATGTTCAGCAGAAAATTGTAGTATCCGACGTGTCTGTATGAAAAATCCTTTCTTGATTAACATCAACACTATATCAGTACTTTGTGCTAAACAATCTGAATTAACTACTATTAAAGAGTATTCGAACATTTTGAATTAATTTTAAACATAAAATTATTTGATCGCTATAAAGTGTAACTATATATATTTCTTTTTCAACAAAAACAAATTTGACTTAAAAATATATGTTTTATTATATATTTTTTTTATTTCTATTAAGTTATTTCTTCTAAATATACATCAACTACTACTTGATGGTCATTTAATAGATTCTTACATTAAAAAACTCAAACGTAAATTCAGTTTAAGCTAATCTAATCAAAACAATTCATCAATAAATTTTTTTAATTTATATAACGCATACTTGTTACATTTGTTAGGATTCTTTATAATCTAATCATTCCTTTATAGTTAAAAAATACACAATTTTTATAAAAATATTTTGTTTACTTAATTTTAACGAATTCTTTAAACAATTCTTATTTTTTAAACTGTTCTTTAAATAATACATTCAACAAGCCCACCCTACAACAATTCATTCTATTTCTTTACGCTTATATTGTTATTTTCTTAAAATTATAATATGTGATAGATATATTAAGAATGCACTAGTAGTTTATATTAGTTAAGAATTGAAAGCAAAAATCAAAGTTTAAAATTATTTTGAATATATGAATAAAAATATACAAATGTTAAAATAATTTGGAGAAGAAAGAATAGTAATTCTTTAAAGTGCAAGAGGAATTTTCATCACATTATTTCAATCAGTTTATTTTATTTGTTTACAGTATCTCGATGTCGATTTGTTTAAGCTACAAAGAAAATATATATATATATATATATATTAGTATAACTAATTAAATTATTTAATTTGTATTTCATTTACCTGAAATTTTGGCAAATGCCAAGCTCGACTCTTCATGATTAAAGCATTTGCCGATTTCTGCACAGATGTGTGATTCCTCAACATCATCTTTCTCGAACAAATGCATCATACTAATGCCATAAATATCCATCATCTCGGAGCACTAGAAAAAAGAATATACATTACAATAAATACAATAAAGTTTGTTTTTAATAATATAAAAACTTTTATTTAAAAAAATTAAATTAATAAAATTATTTTATTAAAAAAATTGCATTATGGAACCTTCAAATAGTATGGTATTATAGCAACGATTTTTTGTGTTTTAAAATTGCAAATAAAATGATATATAACTAAGCTCTGTTTAAATACATTTAAACCGATAAATTTTTTATTTTAATTCGTAGGTATTTAAGCTATTTTAAATATAAAGCAAACTGGGGAATAAAAATACGGCATATTATCTTATTATCTTCAATTATTTTAATTCTTAAAAATAATGTAATTAAATCTTTACAAAAAAATTATTTAATAATTATTTCTTCTTTCTTAACAAAAATAGGAACTGCCTCTTTCCATTTTTGATTTGCTAGAGTATCAGAAAGATAAGATTAGGAACCGCCTTTACCTTACCATTTTACCGTAAATGAGAATTGCTCAATTGATGATGTAGATATTACAGAGTGTTAAGTTTGGATTAATCAATTATATAGAAGATGTTATGCGAAATTGGGGACTATCAGAAATTGACGAGGTTACTTATCGTTATACAATACACCATCTATATATTCGATTTTTTCCATATACGAAAAATATATGGAGGATCAAGCAAAGTTAATGAATTATATCGTTGGTTGTATTGCACTGAACGGGGTCTACTTTATCCTATTCTAATTCCATTATGTACTTGAGATTTTTTTAAACACTCCTAAACAAAAGATTGTGTTGCTTTAATGTATTTTTTTTTTACTGAAACTAGCACCATAACCTATCATCATAAATCAAGACTAACACCCATAAGCCTAACACTATTGCTTACAATTCCGACAGACTCTGAAATCTGACAGAATCTGAATGTGATTGCAAAAAAAATTAAAAATATTAAAAATGTCCATTACCTAATAGGTTCCTGATTAACTAATTAAGAATTGAGTAAAATATAAAATTACAAATAATAAAAGTTATAAAATCCTAAATAATTTTTCAATTATTATAAAAAATAATTAAGTAATATTAATTTTAACATTCTATACGTACAATTTGATAATATTTTGCTGGTAAACTGCCGCAAGCAGCAGTTGTCATATCCTGTGCACTCAAATTAGCTAAATCCAAATGTTGTTTCAAATATGGTGATAATGTCATAACAGCACCATGACAAACGCCACATTCGATTACTTCATCTATGCAAAATAATTTTTAATATATTTCATAATATAGTAAATATTAATTATTGTATACATACCATTTACAACTTTATCCATATTTGCAAAACATAATTGTATTTTTTGACAAATTTCTTTTGGAGGTACTGTACCAATCAATGTGATAATTGCATTAGCATATTGATCGACAAATTTATCACAACTTTTGGCAACTGTTTTTGGCATATGATTGCAAATATTCTCAATTGTATGTTTTATTTCTTCTTGTGTAGTTTTGTTCTTCAATTCCACTTCAAGTTTAGCCATAACAAATTCACACAATACACAAGTTGGAGGTTCTTTTATGATACCAGTTGGTTCAAGAGCAGTAAAACGTTCAGATGGCGTTAAGATAACATTACGTTTTGGAAGAGCAACTACATCATATTTTAATGCTTCATCAATTTCCACTAAAAAATCAAAATATTTGTGTGAACATCAATGCAAATAAATATTAGCTTAGACAACTTACGATCCTCTTGTTCACTCCATAAACATAAACCTAATTCACGACAAATCATTTTTGGTTCCATTTCTTTTAATATGAGCGTAGCGATTTTATCACCGTATTTATCAATGTACGTATGGCATTTGTTTTGTATTTTTTTACGCAACTTATTGCAAGATTGTTGTAGTGCCGCTTCAATGTCAGCCTAAATATGTAAGCAAATTATTAATTAAAATATATTAATCACAATAATATTATATGTCAATACCTTTGTTGGATGCTTTTTCATTTTCTTTTCAGCATTCTTAATCATCTCTTCACATAACCAACAATTTGGCGAAACAGTTTCATCATTACGTTCGAACACTATTTCAATAGGCATTTCCTCGCTATTATTAATTTCGTTTGAATCTATATGAAAATGTAAAATTAACAATTATTTTTTTTACTTTCGAGTAAAACTTCAAATATTTTTCGAAATGTTTGAAGCTTTTTGATGTTTAACTATGCTTGAGCCCGATTTAAATGCTTAACAATGGTGTTGAGTATTTGTTATTATATGCTTTTGTATAAATACAAAATTAAAATATATATAGTACTGATATAAATACAAAATGTACTGATGTCTTAACGATAAAGCATATTCGCTGTTCGAGTAGCTAAAACGTCTTCAATTAATTCAAACATCATCTTCGGTTAACTCCCGAATATTATCTTTGATCAACGCGAACATCATCATCGCGAATAGCTTAAACATCATTTTCGAGAAACTCGAGCATCATCTTAGATCAAGTCGAATTTCATCTTCGATGAAATCGAATATCATCTTCATTCAACTCAAACATCATCTTAGAATTACGTCAAACAATATCTTTGAATCAACTACTCATTCGAGTAGATCGAACAACATTTTCAAATAACTATAACATAATTTTAATGGAGGTCAAACATCATCTTCGAGTATCTCGAACACCAACTTTAATCAAAGCAAATTTCATCTTAGAATCAAGTCGAATATCATCTTCGATCAAACATTATCTTGGAATCTGTCGAACATGATCATCAAGTAAATCATTTACGTGTAGCTCAAACATCATTTTCGAGTATCTTGAACAATTAAAGTGCTCTATTTAAATGTTCGACTTCGAATTCGAGTATGAATACTCCCGATGCTTGAAAAATTGTTATGATTGAAATACTACTTAAGTACTAACTTAATTTTTCTAACTACAAACTTTTGATTAAATATAACCAAATCTGAAAGTGCATATTTACATCCAATAACTAATTCTCTGACACTTAAAATTAACTATTTATGCCAGTTTCTTTAGGATCGGTTTTCGAGAAATGTATTGTATTAAATAAATATTTACATACCAGAGGAGTTTTCATCTTCGTTACTAGATTCATCATCAAGACTTATGCCCATATCTTCCAAAAATGTATTATTATCTGTGCACAATTTAAGGGAAACACAAATCTCTTGTGGTTTAAAATCGGTTATTAACATATCAACTAATTCGTTTGTGTACGTTTGTACAAAATCAATGCATTCGGCTTGAAGTTTATTTGGCAAATGTACGCACAAATGATCCAGAACATTTTTGATGTTAGTCTGCAAATATTAAATGACAAATTCATATATGTAACTTATAATAACTTGTTTTAAAATTTACTTTTGATTTATCTTCTTTAATTTTTTCCTGTGCTTCTTTTATGGCAAACAAACAGAATGGACAAGTTGGTTTGTCACTACTATCTACAGGTGCTGGGTCAAACACCTCCATATCATCATGGTTTTCTAGATTTGGTGGACACATTTGCATTTTAGGGCATACCTCACGTGGGTCTAGACCTTGTATCAACAATGCAATGACTGCATCACCATACATGTCAATAAAGTTATGGCATTGTCCACGTATGCCTGTTGGAAGCTTGTTGCAAACTGTGTTAACCTCGCGTTTAATTTCATCCTAACATAAAGAAATTATATACAAATTTATTTCATTTTTTTTTTCTTCTATAAAGTAAATAAAAGGTGCTATTAATAACTACCTCAGTTGAAGGTGTAGCTAATGCTTCCTGTATAAAATGTAACATATATTCACATAGTGTACACAATTCTCCATTTTCAACCAACAAACCGGGATTTGCAGCACCCATTAAATGATCAATAGGTAAAGCCATACTATGTATTTGTTCCTGTGTGAATTTAGGTTCGTTAGCACCCAATTTGCGTATAGTAACTTTAATTTGAGCAGGTTCTACAACTGGCAACAATGGTCTTATTTCTCCTTTATATTCCGAAAAGTTTCCTTTTGGACAAACACCAATCAAAAAGCATGCTCCATTTGCATCCATTTTATCAACCAAAGTCTTATAAATTACATCGTAATACTGGTCAACAATGCTTAAACATTCTTGCTTAAAACCTTGAGTCTGTCTGCAAAGTCCTTCAAGTACTTGTTTGAACTCAGATTCAGTTGTATTGGCAATAAGTACATCGCGCAAATGGTTCATTAGTTGTTCGCACAATTGACATGGTATATCATCACCAATAACAGAGGCGAGTACAGCGGTATCTACTTCTTCTTTTGGATCTTCTGCGTGTTTATGATATTTACTTACACAAGCTGCAGACAAATGACAAATTCCTTCTGCGTTCAGATTAGTCTTCAGTTTAGCGTAAATATCATTGAAATAAGTGATTACAATATTCGCGCAGGCATCAGAAAATGAAGACATTTCACCGCAGAGACGTAATATATTTTCCAACATTTCATCACGATTAACTGCATTGAATTTATTTGTAATGAGTGTACCAATATGATTGCAATTGTTGCAAGTTAGTTTATATTCCTTTGGACTGGTAATTGTGGCAATTTCCTTCTTTTCTTTTACTGGTTCAACTACAACATCCTTCTCTTCCAGTGTGCCATCTAAAGCTGCAGCATAGGAACTCTGCAGAATCTTATCAATTTCCGCATTATTACAGAGTCCAGCAACTGTACAAACTTGCTATATATATTTATAGAACAAAAAAAATTATTTACTTGAACTTGATTCTTATATTTTATTGAATTAAATTTACGTTTGGATCCATTTGTGACGAAAGTGCTTCAACTAATTCGGGTATAAAATCATCAGCTAATTTGCAACATGATTTCTTCACTACCTTGAGAGGTATTAGATTGCACGATCCTTCAAAAACTTCCTTTAACTCTTCCATGGTTTCATTACTACGTAGCTGATCACGTGCTTGTTGAACCATATCTTTGCAAATCTGACAGATGGAATCATTATCAACAGGTACAGATTGCTTCTCCCATACAGTTTGGATGCAGTGGCGTACAGCATTACACCCTTTAGCATTACTGCAAAAATTCAAACAAAGAAAATTGTTAAAAGCATTTTATTTTTGGGGGGAAATACAATAACATTAAAATTAAAACAGCAGCAAATATATATATATATATATATATATATATATATAAATATATATATATATATATATATATATATATATATATAATATACATTATAAAGATAAGATAAAAATTTATTGGCAGCAATTCTTTGTTGTTAAAGTGCATTTGTTTGTATTAACATAAATAAATTTGTTCACTTTTTCAGTTCTGTGTTGAGTAAATTTCATTCTAATGATTATATTTCATTGAACTTTATTTATATATTTGATAAACGGATTGAAAACAATTATTGTTAAACAAACGTTTGATTCACCATTGATAAGCAAAATAATATTTTAAAAATGTATATAATATAAATAAATTCATTTTATTAAAAATACTTTTTAAAAATATTACTTAAAATCGTCATCTGACAAATTGCCAATTCTCATCATAGTTGTAAAGACACTATTCGTAGCTCATCTCTCCCAACATGAACTCAATGCAGTAATCGGGTTTGTGTTTTCAGAAGGGTTACAACAACAGCAACAAGAACGTGGGGAAATTACCTGGAGTACAAATAGCATCAAGAACTTTAATTCATCCTTCCTAAAGCGGGTTTTACACATCATTATTGGCGCGTTGACTTGGTAAGAAGTTGCTATTACACATCATTTACTGTCGACATTATTTTGAAAACTGCTCAGCAAAAAATACTATATGTGTAATACAAAAAAGAATCATACGTGCACTTAAACGAGGTTTACAGAATGATATTTGCATGGAAGTAGACAAAAATCCGATTGTATACGAAAAACAACGAGTAAGTCTGACGAAAAATCAAAATATTTTGGTTTCCTTGTCTTCATAGGGTCGTCTTATCCCTGCCGCATTTTTAATGCTCACCTTGGATATCTTTTTGACTACTGTATCAGACGAGAGATTAAGCTCAACCCTCCCAAGATCTCTGACATAGTATTTTTCAGCGTGATCGCCTGTGATATCGAGCAAAGGCTCAACAACTCTCTGAGCTAAAAATAACTTAGCTAAAATAACTTGGCATTGTGTTCTCCTCACAACACGACTTTATCTCTCACGTTAATTATGCCATCCGTAACGCTCGGTTCAGGCACACTCAACTCAAAAATGCACTTCGAAGACATAATAAGCTTAACTACAAAGTTACGCTGCTCTGCTATAAATATCTTATTTGCCCTCTTCTCACCTACGCTTTCCGTATTTGGCCAGTAATTATTTCCGCTCAGTTGGAAAAAATCCGCCTGTTTAAGCAGAAACTGCTTCGTGATTGCATCAACTATAAGCGTAAGTCTAACGGCAAGCACTTCTTGTTTCTGTCTTCTATGACAAGACCCAAGATCACTTGTGTTGACGAGTACCTTTTGTTACTTGTCCGTAGGTACTTCACCCGGCTTTGACCTCCCCGCTGACGTCTCCATTCCTTATACCCTCCCTGAAGACCTTATTCAAGCTTTAAACCTCCTCAGTACCTTTTCCATTATCCTACGTCAACCCCCTCCATAACGGCGACTTTCCTGACCCTTTCAGCTTTCGTGATATTGATAGAATTATGTACAGTTTGAGAACAATAATTTTTGTTGTCCTTCACCTTAAAAATTGTTTGTATTCTTAAATTGAATCAAACTATAATTTTTTTTTTAACAACAATTAAAACCATTCAACCTTATGTGCATAATAACGGGTTTCATTACAGGCCGTTATGGTCTGAAATATCACTTTCATAAACTATAATTATCTGCTAACTCGGAATGCAGATTATGCCTCGAAGATGAGGAAACGACCATGCATATTCTTTGTGACTGTCCAGCTTTAATAACGCACAGAAGAAACCTGTTTCATAAAGAATTTCTGTCACCAGAACAGATTAAGAACTCTTCTCTAGATTTAGTTCTAGACTTTATTCACAAAGCTTTAAGGGGCTTTGTTTAATCAATAGTGAAACTGGTACAATAGGTCTCTTCTGGCCGCAATACCGGCTGTTTGGCAATTTTCACGTCTACTCTTTTAATAATAATATGTGCATAATTGGCATTAAATATACCGCAATAAACAAATAATTATACTCGATACCCGTTATACAATATGCATACGTAAATATGGATTACATACATATATACAATATATAAAAAATACTATTCTAAATAAATTATTTTCCAAACTCATGCATTTATTGTACTTTGTATTTTATCAGTATTATTCCTAGAATTTCAGTTTATATGATAAAATGCTTAGTTTTGCATGAATGGCGACGATCCAATCCACAATAACAAAAAATAAAATTGACCCGCATTTGATATCGGAAATCCTAAAAATATTTCTACTTTTGTGTGAGTTTATAAAGTAAATATTTTTTTTAAAAATTGTGTGAATCAGTTTCAGTTGGATGAATTGAATATTAATAAATATAAACGAAAATTTCCACCAGCATCCCAAAGAGAGATAAACAAACCTCAGCAAAACTATGAGGACTACTCAGCCTAAGCCATTGTTGGGAAGACTTAGAAGTGAGAATATTTATTTTTATCGCATTTTATTTGAAACTGATAAGAATGTAATTTAGAAGTTGAAGTTTTTTTTATTTTATGAGATTTAAAATAATGCCTCATATTAAATATAATTTATAATAAAATTTAAATTGATGTTATTATGCGTCATTAATTTATAATATGTAAATTTTGTTGAATTTCTGAGCATGTTCCAGATGTTTTTGCGAAGTATTCATTTCATTTACTCATTTATGATTTTAAGTGATTAAGCTGAGTTGATTGGCTTAATAACAAAAAAATAAATATTATTTTATATTTTTTAGAGGGTAAAATATAATTAGCGGTTTAAATGCATGTAATCGTAATCATCTACGATAACTGAAGAGTAAATAAAATATGTTTTGTTTAATTGACAATCTATTGATGAATGATTTGTTGCAATGTAATAAATGGAATTGAAGTTATTAACAAATAATGTAGAGATACTAAAGAATCCACCCCAGCTAGCTGCAATCGTCTATCACTAATCTTAATTCGAAGAATATGATACTCCGTTTGAACTTTGTCACAATGGCGCAGTATTAATCCAGTTTATTTCAGAGAATATCGTTGTGTTTAAGTAATTACCACATAAATATAGAAAGAATGGTATTCATTTATGATCTTGTAATAACGATATACTATAGTATTAGAATGCATCCCAGAATACGAAACTTATGTAAATCATTGATTATTTAACCACACATCCCCTTAACTGTAACAGATGCGCTACCGTGTCAAATGAAACTATCTTAAAACAGTAAGAGATAAAAGTTTTAGATCCTTTGTTTAATATTATAACCCAACGACAAATAAGACAAATTCTCTAATTCTCTAATTTTTTCCTGCTGAGAATGACGTGTCTTCGTCTTATGACGAAGTTTGACAAATTCTGATCCCATCAAAGGAAATTTAAAAAAAGGTACCTTCGTTAAGTTAGATAAACTTAAAAATTCCTTACAGTTAGCGTGACTTCTTTATAGTTAATGTATCCATCCAAGACTATGCACAATAGATCTATTCTGGTTCCGGTGCATTTTGATATAGAATAGATTGTATATGTATACAAGACATTTAAAGTTGCATCAATGGCCTTCAAGCATGAGACGAAAGAGTACCGTACCGAAAGCCAATTAAGTAAGTTATAACTATTTATAAATAAATTAATATTTATAAATCATAAACATATGGTAAAGTAATCACTTGAATATGTGTTTTTAATTACCATATTATTTTTTTTTGTATTATTTTTTCATATACTAATAATAAACAAAGAAGATGGTGGTTTACAAATATATTTGTATTAATCATACGAAATACTTTGGACTTCAATCTGCTTATCTTATTTTAAAATGAAAGCAAATGAAAAGAAAGCAAATCTGATTACTTGGGAAAAATATTTAGAGAGTACGCAAATCAAACCGTGTTCTATATATTCCAATCATAAGCCTATGTAATCACTGCTCCCATTTTTTTTAATTACGTTTGAATTTTAATTGTATAATTAAATAAATACTTTTAATATTTTATTTTTTTGTTTAGTACATTATAGACACGGTATTTTTAATATTACTTCAAGTGGAAGATTTTTGATTTAAGTAAAAAACTCTATAATCAGAACTTCCTCTTTAAACTAACTAAAATAAAGTTTGTCAATATAGCTTAATCAAAAAAAGAATATATATATATGTTAGTTATGTTTATACGTTATCTTAAGCTCAGCGGAAATTTCAAGTTCAAAGAGCCGCTTTATTAGAAGTGCAAGTCTGCAAAATTTCAAGTTTCATTATAATTTTGCTTCAAAAATTATAATCCAACATGGCAAAATATTTTTGCAAACACAAATAAAATTCAAAATTTATATGAATTATATGCAAATGTATATAATATATAGATTATTACAAATCTTATTTTATATAAATGGAAAAATAATGATTTAACTACATAAAGAGATAACTCAATAATCACAACTAACTCTTATAATAAACTTCCTTAACTTTATAAATAACCATTAATCTGTCCTCATCCTCATTTCAGAAAGTATATATTTCAGTAACAAAATCCTCCTAAATAATTTTTAAATTTGATTCACTTTATGAACTGTAGAGATTAAATACTCCTCTCTACAAAAAACCTTTGATTAAAAATCTATACATCATTGAATAGAAAGCATAAAATAAAGAAAGCATAACATATGGTAATATATAAATAGATAATTTGGTTAGACAGTATTCACTCGATAAATAAAACATAAAATTTCATTAAAGTATAATTCAGCAGTAAAAATGTATCAAAAATTAAACTAAAAAAAATAATTGAATTGTTGAACTTAATTCGTGACAACACAATATCCTGTCTTTTAAACCACTTTCGCTCTCCCGATTTCAGTTAGAGATTCACCATTCAGATCTAGAATCAGAAAGGTGTCTGTAAGAACGATAAAAACTAGGGTTCAAACGCTCGAGGGTAGGAGAACTAATGCAGAACTTTATTATCTTCATAATATATCATAGATAAAGTACACAATCAACTTTAGTATTAGAAGCGCCAAAGGTAACACGCGATCCGAGATATTTTTAAAAAAAATAGGGTCTTAAGCTAACCAACTCAAAACAGAGTTATTAACCTATCTCAACGGTTTTTTGAAAGCCGTATGAAAGTATTGGGCGTAATTTAAGGACATAACAAGGCTCTTACAGATAAGATGGGTGAACTTTTTACTCTTACTCTTATTCTTGAAATATTACGGTTTATTTAAGAAACTAGTGATTAATCTGAATACAGATCTATTTAGAGTGAAAAATCGACTAACATTTTGGTATTGATACATGTGTTGTTTTGATTTCTTTAGTACTTGGACAAATTTCAAATCGTAATGAAAGTTGAAAGAGTTTATATTCTATGTTTCTAAGTAGTGTTGAGATTCAACAAATTTATATTCCAACATTAATTTAGAACCTATTGTATAAAACTTATTCTCTTATTGCTATATATAGAAAATAATATTGAGCATTCAAGATTTAGAACAGCAATTTCGAAGCTTTAAACTATTCTTAACCTATCGAGTCATTCTTATATGTGTCATACTCTATAGCTTATCTAATAAGCTAAAAAATTAATGGAAATTCACCACTATTTTATCACAATAAAAATAAATCGTTTTTAGCAATATTTATTAATAATATAAGACACATATAATTATATATATAATTATAATATATGTTCCAAAATATATAATTTTGAAATGTCTCATATATCTAACAATTTGCACCGGTAGGAAGGGTCTAAAGTCCATTTGCAACCACATTTTTGTAAAATAATATTGTAAGGTAATTTTATTAAGAAATTGTGAGGAATAAATAATGAAAAATAAATGCATATAGAGAACAAAAATATGTAATTTGAAACTCAGACAAAAAGAAAAATTTTTCACTTAAAATAGTTTTAAAAATCAAATGTGAAACGTAACACAAGTTCACTTCCACTACGCTGAAAACGCTTAATAATGGAATGAAATGCATTACTCATGCAATTTAAGTCATACGAGTAATGTTGCATGGTTTTTATTTCTGTTGTTAAAACGGTTGCTAATTTAATTAAGCATTATTGTTGAAACCAATAAAAAAAATATTTTTAAACGAATACTAAGAATTACAGAACGGAAATTAATTAGAGAAGGGATTCGCAGAATGATAACTGAAGAATAGGAAAGGATGATTCCATGTATAATATATTCCATTTTGAACCGGAAGAATATTCTAGAATATTGGCGATTGATGTTTTTAATGAGCAAAAATGGAATACACTTTAAGTATACAAAGTATATAAATTTATTAAATAAAATAAAAAAGTTTTAATTAAAATGCAAGCCTCATAAAGTGCAATACAGTCCTAATCCATTATTCATACTCATTAAAAGTAATTACAGTTTTGGGAACAGAAAAATATCGTACAATGCCATGTCAGGCCGAACACATTTGTTAATTTTTTTCTCAAAAACTGTTATAAAACAGGGATTTACGTTCATTTTTTTTAATTAGAATTTTGTATTCTCATAACTCCAATTCCATAACTAATAATTAAAAAAATATTGTGCAACAAAATCTCATAAAATTAAAAAAGGGTTCCCTGATCTATATAGAAGAAAGTTGACAAGACTGTGGGAGTAAACTTTGACCAGAACGTACAATGTTTTAATGGATATCATACATAAAAATGGTAAATAGAGTAGCTGAAGAAGTTTTGGACTGTATCATGAACAAATACGTCTTGATCAGCTTTTTACTATTGTTTCAAGGTAAAACAATCCAACCCTGTATGTTCGATTAATATACTTTAAACAAGCTTTCAAAAGCATTAAATAATTTTATAGATATCTTTGATATAGGATAGACTAGAGAATATAACGCAACTAATAATTATGCAGCTTTGCAAGAGTTTTAATGTTAAATAAACAACCAAATAGTTAAGAAATGGACTATGCTTTAAACTGAGGAACTGTTATAATTCATTTTGTTCTTTCGATTGGTAAATCTGAATTCAATCTAGATTAAGTCTCGATCTGTTAAATTTTTTTGCCTAATCGAACATTTTTAGAGTAATCTAACATTTTTGTGGTAGTGTTAGTAGACATTTATAGTTTTCATAAATACATATATCGAATCAAATCACCCTATATAAGCCAAGTAATATAAAACAGCTGTTAATAACAATGTAATCTTGCTACTCTGATTACTATTCTAGAGTGTTATACAACTTGCTCGATATTTACCAATCGAAAAACTAAAATTAAAAGTCGATTGAAAAAATTATCCCAGATCTATATAGCTAAATATGTGTTTAATATAGTTTATTTAAAGCAAAGAACGTCAGATGTTTTAAAAGTTATTGCATTTTTTAGCTAATACTGACCGTACTGCCAGTTCCGTCCGGATTATCAGCTATTCCTTATTGTTCAAGTGTAAAAAAATTGTATTCAACGTACTTAACTCATCATATATTGCCCATTCATAATCTTTAAATAGTTATTTTTGATGTAGTAGAACTGTTGTTATATTCTTTTAACATACTTCTTAAATGAAAACTGGAAACTATTATACCTTTAAAGTCAATGTATGCTAATGAGAGTATCTCATATCTCAAGAAAAAAACTATCCAGTTCAGTCCGAATGAAATGGAAACAAAAGGCTTATTTGAAAAGAAAATTTTGATTATTTTAAGTGAATTGTTGTAGCAAATATTGTTTTTGTTTAAATATTTCTATTAGTTCTTAAGATAATCTACTCTATTTCAATTTCCTGTAACTTGGACATTCTTTCGTGGTTCTTATTCCTTTCAAATGATAAAACAAAACACCAGGTAGTCAGTTAGTCTCAACAAAATTTGAAAGAAGCTTAGACACATGAATCCGATGACTATTGAAACATTTTAAGAACGATGTTCCCAATAACGGCTAATCGGCATTAAACTTCTTCTTTTCACTTTCTTCAGTTTCTTTCATTTATGTGTCTTTTGCCATACCTTTCAGATTCGAAGAAATTACCACAACAATAGCGGTGAGATCTACGCTCTAGAGCCATCGTCAATGTTATTGACAATGTAAATCTCACCATTATATATCAATATATTATTGAAGAGATTATAATATATGTAGGTATATATAAATACAAAAAGAATATAGAAATTTGTGTAAATCTTTTTAAAAACAAAAGATATTGTTTAAATTTGGTAGCCTCATTTAAACTTTGTTAAAGGTTTAAATGTAAATAAATAAAAATTATTAAATAATTAAATAAAATTGCATGCATATAATCACAACCATAGGTTATCATATTTAGAATAAATTAATTTGTTATTTTCACTGAGGGGATTTGCAGTCTACAAAAAAAGTACACACATTTATATTAAAAGAGGTGGGGTCGGCAGGCAGTAGAACAAAGGCAATAGCAACGACACAACAACAACAACAATAAATACTAAGTGTTTGAAAATATAATAAATATTTTCTTATCAAGTTTCATGTTTTTTTTCAGATTTTATTAATTTTTTCGCTTTTTAAAAAATCTATTAACAATAAAAAATTAGCACAGCGTAACAAATATTAAAAAAAAATGCATTTGAGATTGTCATACTTTAGCTTTGGAAATATAAGTGAAGAAAGAAAATGGATGAACCCGGTATACTCATTAGACAGTGGGGTGGGAATAGTATTTTTCCATATTCACCACAAAATTTAGTTGCTTTAAGCAAACCAAACACTACAGAAAGAAATATTTTACTTTTACTGTTTGTATTTGTTTATCGTAATCAAAAATTAACGCTGCGACGTCAGCAGAGGAAAAGTTAAGACGGCGTAGTATTTTTTTTGGCAATAATGACTTATTGCGTTTCTTACGAAAACTTACTTACAACAATTTAACAATGACAAATACAAGTTAAATTAAATTTATATTTTTATTTAATAAATTAAGTAAATATGAATTATTAAAATAAATTAATTTAAATTACTCACGTGAGATTGCTACACCAATAGCTCGGGCCCCAAGTGCATTTGGTTCCACCAAGTAATGGCGTTGCACTTACAACAAATGCCCCTGTAAATATAATAAATATAATTATATATATTTTTTAAAACTTCTACATTATCTTTGAACATTTTATTATTGAATTTAAACGACGCAATATAAGTAAATAAATATAAATCTTTAGCGATATTTTTTCCCAACACTTACCGAAAACAACAAAAACAATGGCACAAAGGCCAACGTTTAATTTCAACATTTTTACTTAATTTTGCTTTAAATAATTTTAAATTCACACTTTAAACTCAATTTGTAACACTTTTTGTATAATTTAAATCAAAATATTATTAAATTAATACTTTTCTATACAATACTCCAACTTCCCTATTTTAATCGTTTAGTCACTTTAGACGTCCAAATGCACAATGAATAATCGAAAAATGTAGAATTTCGTTGAAAGAATTATGACAAATGCAAAAGGCAAAAGCAAAGCAAAAAAAATGCAAACACTGCGGAATAGTGAAAATGAAACATAGGATAGTGCTGCGCAAGATGTATATTATTTATTAAAAATTTTATTTAATAATAATAATAATTATTAATAATAATAATATATTTGTATAATTATGAATTTATATAATTATTTTAAATATTCACTTACATTTACACACATTTTTAAATTAATTATAATTTTTAGCATATGTTTAATAAAATTTTAGTTACCTATACAGGGTGACCTGTATCAATTTATGTTTGTAATAGAAATAATCTATTCAAGATGAAATGAATGGCATTTTATTTTTTAAATATTTTACATACATTTACACACATTTGTAAAATAATTTAATATTTTTAGTACATGTTTAATAAAATTTTAGTTACCTATACAGGGTATCAATATATGTTTGTATTAGAAATAATCTTTTCAAGATGAATTGAATGGCATTTGTGCCAATAAATGTCATTATTAGATATTAGAATAGTACGAGTACTCATCTAAACTGAAAAATGCCTTATAAACCTTATAAATGTATAAATTTATCTACTTGGTAAAAAAGTGATAATTTTTGTATGAAAAATTAATTATACTATATTCAGACAGCCAAAATACCTTAATTTCGTAAAAATTAAATTAAATTAATTTCGACACTGCTCATACTGCCCCAAATTAAGGAAATCATATATTTTTTGTTTACAAATCAAATGTCAAAAATTACATGCTCCAAACACTATTTACATCTGGGAAATTTTAAAAGTTGATTATTATAGCTATAAAGAATGACATACAGTAGTTTTATTAGCTTACAGGTATGTGAGTTATTAATTTTCACTTTATTTTAAATTAATAACAGTTAAAGTTTTTTTACTATATTCAAATTTAAAAATTTGCACTACTTTCATTTGTCATTAACATTTATTTAAAAAAAGTATCATTTTTTTGTTATCTAAACTTTATCTTTTGCTAAAAATGTATTTAACGTATAGTTGCATTTGAAATGTCCCTTAATTTCAGCTTTCGTTTTAAAGAAATTAAGGTCATTTTTCTTAATTTCGTTCTAACCTTAAAACTGTATTTTGTATGGAAAAAACAACTTAATTTCGCTGAAACGAAGATGAAATCAAGATTTTTCTGAAATTAAGGTGTGTCCGAACATAGCATTACACAAACTATGATATATTAAATAACGACTATATAAAATTTAAATAAAGATTAAATATGGGATAAAATTACAACTGCAATAAGCATCTATATTGAGTTGCAGTTAAAAGGTGTGACTATTTTTTGTCAGTGTTATTAATATAAGAGTTAACAACCCGATATCTCACGAACTAAGTTATTACGGCATATAGTGTAGTAAAAAGAGTAGCTCAAAATAGTGTAAACATTCGTTACATGGCCATTGTTTAAAAGTATTCAATGCCCACAAAGTTTAAAAACCGCCACACTCTTTTCCACATTGGACATGGTTTTTATTTAAAACCATTCAAGAATATTTACTAGGTGTGTTTGATAATAATGTTTCATTAAGAATGTTAATAATTACTTTATTATTTTTGCTAATCATAATGTATTACTATACATTTATTATTTAAAAATCATATAAGAATTTTTATAAAAATTGCACACCTGTAGTTCGTTTAAAGAAAATCATTTATAACTCTTTTATAATTAAATGTTTTTGGCTTCTTGAACTTTATTGAACACAACCTAATTTTTCATAGCTTCTTACGGTAGTAGATATTGAGTTTTTACGGAGAACAAACCATTTAATTAAATTATTTTGTTATTATGATCAGATTTATTTTAATCAAAAAACTTATTTATGAATTATAAATTAATGTGTTTATATAATTATTTATGTGAGGGTAAGTAGCAGATGTGGAATTTGGATTGAAAATTTCGCGATTTACCCATATATAAAATTTCGGGACTATTTTCCAATTTATAATCTCAGTTATTAACTCAAAAGAAAAACGTTGAATTAATAAAAAATAATCACACACATCAAAAAAGATACAACATCTTAAATATCAATTTTGGATTGACTGACCCTGCTAAGTACTGCTCTGAATTAAATCTTAATACCGGGCGCAGCCTTCCACTAAAACAAATTCAGTACTGAAACAGGATAGCCAGAGACCTCCACTCTAAAAGCGTGTTTGAAGAAATATATCACATCATAATCTTTTATAGTGAAAGTCTTCCCTAATCGTAAAAGATCGATGCCAGAAACAGAGGGTTTATGTATGAAGATAGTATCTTATACAGAAATTTAGACCCTTACCTGTTTTTTTTGTGAAAGATATCATTATATATATGTTGAGACTTTCAAGTGTGACCATTTCTAATCGGTTTTCTTGCTGCAACGCTAATGAATTAACAAGTTGTCCTCATCGTATAATTTTGTCGCTAAGTGATGACTCTTTTTATTTTATTTATCTAACCAAAATAATTAATTTGTTTTTTAATACACATCTGCGTTTATACGTTAATGATACATTACGTCAATTTTCTTAGATGGAATAAAATTTTAGAACATTGACCACTAAATACTGAAGGTCACTGTTAGATGCATTCAAGATCTAAGCTTACAGCATTTTAAAAATTTATCTTCAACGAAAAATTGTTACTTGTTTAAAATTTTGGTGTGGCATTTAAAGTTTGAAATCTTTGCAAAATCATTGAAGTTCGGTTTTAATGGAAACTTGGTTTTAATCACCTCAGTTAAGACACCAAATAGAAAAAAAAAATCCAAATTTTGTGATAATGTTTCAGCGCTGCCGTGTCGATTCTGTATGGTAGACAATTGTGGTTTTTCATGACCTTGATTCGGATTCTGCAGGTAAGAGGAATTTTGAAAAGTTCAAGTTTTACATTTTTAAATTGATTTTAAAAAAGATTTATAGCAAAAATAAAAAAAAATTTTGTTTACCACATGGAGGTAACATATTTTTTTTTTGTAGAAATAAACAATTTTTTATATTTATATATATTTTTATATATAATAAATAATACAACAATTTTTTTTTCGAAATTATTTATATATGAAGTTACATGAGACTCTAGGACTAACAAATGCCCGACATAATATACTCTCTAAATAACGTAAGATCAAATAAACAATACACCAAAAAATAATTAAAATAACCTTTAATTAAAGAATATTATCTATAAAGTACTTTCAAATTAACAAAAGGCCGTGATGTTATATCTTTTGTAATTACAAGATTGTACTGTAATTACATTATTAATTAATCGTGCTGCATTTAACATTTGTAAACGCAATACTTAATAAACCATACTTAAAATATTGTATTAAATTCTTGTGCTATAAAACCCCACACATAAATCAAGAACAAGCATTCATTTCTCATTTTTTTTTTGCTCTTAGAGTTTGGCATTGACATTTGACATCTTCTTTTGTTTACCTAATTTCACCTATGCAAATTTTATTAGCAAAAAATTATGATCTGATAAAAGTGAAGAAGACAAAAACAACGAAAGTGTAATTAAAAGCAGTTAACGATAGTAAACCATTAAGGCGAAGCGTTGTTTTGATTAGAAGATTTTAGCAAAAATCTTGTTTATGTCAAAATAATTGTAATAATTTTGAATTTATTAAAGTAATAAGCGATTCATTTAAAGGTGCAAATAGTAATAAAAGTGTAAATATTTTAATAAACATATATTTTTTTAAATAATTATACAACTGTGTTTTATAATTACTTATTTTCTAAATAAAAAAAATGTTCAACGCTATTTTGAATTGTAGTGCAAAAAAAAAATTAAAAGTAAATTATTTAAATGTTAAATTTAGAATAAAGTCGAAATATCGAAGAAAAATAAAAATTATTAAATTGTGAATTCTTAATTTTTGTTTTTATTTTTAACAACAACAATAAAAAAAAGTTTTGACCAATTAGCCTATAAAAAAATAAACACTTAGTAAATTATTTAGAAATAATAAGTATATAAATAACACGATATTAAAAAAAAAATTTTAAATGAGCTCATATTAAACTTTTAATGATTAAAATATTAATAACCATTAATATTTTAGTGCTATACACTAATTTTAAAAGTGTCAATAATTAATAATATAAAAATAAAATAAAGTATATCATATATCATAATTTTATATTTTTAACGATAAGTTTATAAATAACATCATTACAGTAATGTAATCAATTTTTACTCAACACGTTTTTAACACATTTTGTAGCAGCGCTGCGGCAGAGCAGCAGAGTTTTTAATGATCATTATTGGTCATTGTTACTTGCTGGCAGGTATGTCAATGCATACATATATTTTTAAGTACTGTACATAAAAATTAAGCCCGTAGTCAGAAATTTAATTAGGGGTGATACTTTCAGATAATTTAAGTAATTTGCAAAATAAAATCTTTATCTTATTAAACAATAATTATGCATTTATATTGAAATACATATGTATGTATAAATATAATCTTTAAATTTATTTTGAAAGGGATGCCGTTCTTCAGCCCCATGGCTACGTGCTTGATTTGAAATGTTATATTGAATTCGAATTAATGTGTTATTCTTCTTATAACAATAATGTACATAAATACTTTTATTTTGTAATTTTTTATTAAATAAAAATAAAAATAAATAATAAAAAATTAAATATTTTATTTTATTAGTAAATTATTATGGCGTTGCCATTTTGTTTTTTTTTTAAATGTTTAAAAAATCAATTAGTAAATTTATATTAGGTCTGTTCCACGAGCTACTCTTAGGAACTTTAAGTAACACTGTGTATATGTTACACAAGTGCGTTCCACCAGCAAATTTTCGAATATATGAGAACATCTGAGAGAGTGTAGCTCATTAGAGTTAGATAATCGATTAGACAGACCTATTAACCAGCATAAAAAAAAACAACCCATGGATCTACTTTTT